GACTAAGACAGGTATATATTAAGACACTCCCTGTAGCTAGCTCTGTAGACTTTTGATATCCTTTCGTACAAGGCCTATAGGTGTCTATTCGAATCAAGGCTCGTTTGATGTCCCACGCACTCCCATATGCCTCTGAGTGACACTACTGCCGGTACTGATCCGAACAGTCTTGCCTGCGCCGTTACAGTAACGCTGCGACTAGAGTATTTTTATTGTTGTAAAGCAGCAGCATATAAGGCGAGAATGAGAGATTTGGTTATATATTCTATAAGGTGATTTATAGGCAAGGACTAGAATAAAGATAGGTTGAGAGTGGTCGCATCTCCGGACAGGGGGTTTCTCGCTACTGCGGTGGGGACGTTAAGATGTTCTTTTTTTTCCCTTTATTGTAATGCATCCACAAGTCTGAGAACGAACGAGAATATACCATACCAGCGGCCAAAGTGCGGTCTTAGTCTTCCGAAATCTGATTCGAACAATATAGCTTCAAATACAAAAGCTATGGTTTCCAATGCACTTCTTCATTCGACAAACATTTGGAGCGTCATGATACATTTCTTGGCTTTGTTACATTTCGTATGTCCTATTCATCACAAAGGCATGACTTGACTTTTTTCTCGCTGTTTGCTATATAGCATATCAGGTTGATTGTCCAAGAAAAGAATGGCAGGCCACACCCCAACCTGCCGCAATCGGGTATCAAAACAACTGACTTTGCAGTTAAAGTAAAAGGGTTCGGATGAGCATTTACGTCAGCGAGACCTTCACTCGAACCCTGAAAAATCATTCCGTAATGATGTGTAAACCTCTCAATGGGTATATGGCCATTAGGCACAACTCCATTGGGTATGACAATACGAGATATCGCACACGTCGACGTTATCACAAAGGCATACGCGGGCACATGAGCGAGTTTGGAGTGTCGATTCACAGACTATATTTTCTCTCAATACATTAATAGACGCTCAGAACTGATTTGATGGAGTTCTTGTCTTATGAATGCAATCGAATCGTATCTCCTGCCTGGGTTGATGAGTGAAAGATGGTGTTTGTCCACCCGCTACCCTTTCTCTTTCACTTTTGCCCGATCTGGAAACTGCACTTCACTCTCACCTCTCATTGCGAATTGAAAAGTTTTTCTTTCAGCTAGCGTTTGCACAAACAAGAGTCAACCCGCTGATATGAAAACATCCTCCTCCCGTGTCAAAACACTCTTTTCCTACATCAACGCACTCTCTTCCCCTCAAGTTGCACAATCCTCCCTGGCGACAATCGAAAAGTTACCCGCGATTTCGCACGCTCGCCCTGAAGTGACTGCAGTTACTCAGCATGTCTGACAGTGGTAAACCCAGCGGGCGAGGCAGGGGAACCCGCGGTCATGGCCGTGGCCGTGGCCGTGATCGCGGAGGTAACAGATCCGAAAGACAACATGTAAGTGAGACCCCTCGCAGTAGAATCGAAGAGACAGAAGAACAGCGTCAGGCACGACATTCATACAGCTCATGGAAGCGATTGTTTGCCCGACCAGTCGATAACCCCAGCATAATGCGACAGCTCTGGGAAGGCGCACTCAGTATATTGGAGGCAGGAGATCGAGACTGGCGTCAACGACTTCCTCAAGACCTTAATGACGAAGATGGCATTGGACATCGCCACATCCTTGCCTTACTCAGCGCCAATATTAGTGGCAGAGACTATGAGACTTTCACCAGCAATGCTCGCAACTTCCTTCTTACAATCTCACATCCATTCATCCTGCGCTGTCTCGCCGTTGATACCCATGTCGGGCTCATTTACAACCTCTTTGGAGGAGTCGGTGGAAAGAGGGCTGTTTCCTTTCTTCGACGCCTGATTGGGGCCATATTGTCAACTTCTGCTATTGGGGCAACCGGGAACTTAACAGAGAACGCAAAAGCAACACTCCTTGCCATGTCGGTTGCTCTATTTGAGCTTCTCAGGCGTGAATCTAGGGTAAGGTTCAACGATGAGATCCCTTCGCTTGTCGAATCCATACAGACTGCTACAGGAGTCTCCAAAGATGGGGCTTCTTCAGATTCGTTGGCGCGCATCTTCAATAAGCTAAACGACATTCGAGCCTTGTTAGCACGCGCTCAAGGTCTTCTCGCTGACACGAGCATGGATGGAAACAATGCAGCTGATGAGTACAAAAACGCATCCTCTTACCCGCGCGACCTGATTGTGCCCTCCGGCCGTTTCGACAATGACAAGAAAGACATTGCTGAAATAATTCTGTTTCCTACCCGAGATGAGATCATGAGCGACGCAGAAGAATTTCTTCCCTACACCGACCCTGACCAGCCTCATTTCCTCGATGATCCTGTACAGCGCCACATCGATACCTTCTTTAGGTTGCTACGCCACGATATCTTTGGTGAGTTGAAGGGAGCTCTGGCAGGGGTAATGCACACAGTAGCTCAGGAGCCTGCTACGCTATGGAATGCAAAGCTGAGCCTAGGGGACATGCGTGCTTACCATTACATCAATGCTCGAATCAGTTATGTCACTTTGGAGGCCAGAAAGGGTCTACAAGCACAGGTTGAGTTTGTTCAACCAGGCGCAGTTCGCAGGAAGACAAGTGCAGAAAAAGAGAAGTGGTGGGAGGAATCGCGAAGGTTCAACGAAGGAACACTGCTTTCCTTTGTATGGATCGATAATTCTGTCACTCAGCACATCTTCCTGACAGTTTCGGGAAAAACCACAGATCCCGGAAAAGAATACGGCCTGAGTCGTGGCAAAGACATGGCGTACATCACGGCAAGTTTGGCAACACAAGACCGAACCACCGTAAGGAGTCTCATGCAAGCGCATACTGGAGCGGCTCGTGGCCTGCTGTTGGAATTTCCCAACGTGATACCTGCCACATTTTCACCCATTCTAGAGAATCTGAAGGAGATGCACCGCTTGAATCGTCTCCCATTTCAGCAGTGGATCGTGCCTCGCAGAAACGAAGGGCTCCCGGGGAAACGGGTGGTGCATCAAATCCCCCCGCCTTTGTACACACGCACTCCGGGCTTCAAGTTCTCTTTGTCACCTCTGCTAAAGGATGCAAACAAGGGTGACCAGTTGCTAATGGATCCTACGTCCTCATGCGATGACGAAGTGTTACTTAAGAAGCTTGGAACCGCAACTCATCTCGACCGTGGACAATGCCAGGCTTTGATTGTGGCGCTGACTCGTGAATATGCATTCGTTCAAGGCCCTCCTGGAACTGGAAAGAGTTATCTCGGTCTCCAAATTATGAAGGTTCTTTTAGGTCTCAGCAAAAAGGCCAATTTGGGGCCCATCATGATAGTATGCTACACCAACCATGCGTTAGACCAGTTCCTAGAGCACCTACTTGATATAGGTGTGACAAAGCTCATCCGCGTTGGAGCAATGAGCAAGTCCAAGAGGTTGGAAGGCCACAATCTCCGCTTTGTGAGTAACCTGGGGACAAAGACCAAGTCAGAAAAGTACATGGCGGCTATAAGCTACAACGAGCTCGAGAAGACGCAGAGAGAAGCCAAACCAATATTCGCTTCGTTGAACAGCATGCAAAAGCAACCTGAGTGGCAAAGCTTGAAGAATCACATTTCCGAAGACTACCCAAACATACACAGCCAATTCCGTCGTATCGATGATCAAGATTTTGAACTAGCTGGCCGTCATCCATTCGATGTTTGGGCATCGGACATCCAGGCATTTTGCACTCAAAAGTCCGCGACATTGCTAAAGCAGATCGTGCAGAAAGCAAACACGAATGTATATTCGCTAACGACTCAGGAGCGAGGCGCTTTAGTCGCGCATTGGATTGAGGGAGCTCGAAGCAACAAAATAGACGAGCTCTATGAGATGATCAATGATGCTACAAAAACTCAACAAAAGCTGACAAACGTACATGAAGAACTGAATCGACGAGTACTGGAAGAAGCGCAAGTCATTGGCGTGACGACAACTGGCCTTGCGAAACGAATTGCTGTCCTCCAGCAGGTAAAGTGCAAGGTTATCATCTGCGAAGAAGCTGGAGAGGTCATGGAGAGCCACATGATCTCCGCACTACTCCCCAATGTCGAACACGTAATCCAGATCGGAGACCATGAGCAGCTTCGACCTTCAGTAAGCAACTTTCGCGATCTATCACTCGAAAGTGAGCGAGGAAAGCTCCACCAGCTCGATAGAAGCCAGTTTGAACGACTCTGTGTTGGTGAACCGGGACGTCCTTTGATGCCCGTTGCTCAACTCAATGTTCAGCGCCGAATGCGTCCACAGATATCTTCGTTAGTACGTGAGGCCATCTACGGGAAACTCCAGGATCATCCTTCCACCACCGATCTACCGGATGTAGTTGGTATGCGCCAGAACGTTTTCTGGCTCGACCACAAAAACTTCGAGAACCAGAAGGACGCAAATACTCATATCAACAATTCCAAATCGAACTCATGGGAAGTTGGAATGGTGCATGCACTAGTGCGACACATTGTTCGCCAAGGAGTGTACAAATCTGAAGACATCGCGGTGTTGACGCCATATACCGGCCAACTTCAGAAGTTACGAGCCACTTTGAGGAGCGATTTCGAGATTTGCCTCAGTAACCGTGACCGAGAAGCATTAGAGAACGACGGCTTTACGGTCGATGACGTAACTTCTCAAGTACCAGCAACATCTGGACTTCGATCATACCAAGGTAAGCCCTTGGAAAAGAAACAGCTATCCGAAATGTTGAGAATTGCTACTGTCGACAACTTCCAGGGAGAAGAAGCAAAGATCGTCATCGTGTCACTCGTACGAAGCAATGAGGCACAGAAAGTTGGGTTCCTCAAAACGACCAACCGTATCAATGTACTCCTCAGTCGTGCCCAACACGGCATGTATCTCATTGGCAACACCGAAACCTACGTTAGCATTGAAATGTGGCGGAAAGTTATCAACATGCTTAGAGCCTCCGCCTGCGTCGGTAAAAGCCTGGCTCTGTCTTGCCCTCGACACCCCAGAACGCCGATCGAAGTACAAGAGCCAGATGACTTTCAGAAATACAGCCCTGAAGGTGGTTGTATATTGGCATGTACTGACCGTCTTGACTGTGGCCATCGATGTGGAGCTAGATGCCATTCAGAAGCTATGCATGCAGTGTTCCAGTGCGAACAGCCATGCCAACGCCAACATCAGCCATGTGGTCATTCATGTCAAAAGCCTACATGTGGAGAGCCTTGTGGGAAATGCATGATATCGTTGGACAATGTGCTGCTTCCTTGTGGCCATCTCAAGCATTCCGTTCACTGTCACCGCACCCAGAACGTCGCTGGCATTGTCTGCGATGTCAAGGTATCGAAGGTTGTTCCTGGCTGCAGACACGAAGTGGTTGTAAAATGCTCCTTGGATGTTTCTAAAGCCCACTTCAAATGCCCTACACCGTGTCAAGCTCTGCTAGCTTGCAGTCATCCTTGCCCCGGAACTTGTGGTCAATGCAACACCAAGGATACTCGTGACAAGCCACTGATCAAGCATTCTACTTGCCGGAAGACTTGTGATAGGAAGCATGGGACCTGCAGTCACAACTGCAAACGCCCATGCCATGATGGAACTGATTGTGAGTTGTGTCAAAGCCCATGTGAAGTAAGTTACATGCATATCCTTCCAGTGCGTTTTTTTGACAGTATTTAGGTCCGTTGCAAGCATACCAAATGTGCAAAGAAGTGTCATGAGCCTTGCACGCCATGTACTGAGCCTTGCGAATGGTCCTGCGAGCATCAAAGCGACTGCAAGATGCCATGTTCAGCGCCATGCGATCGCTTGCCCTGCGATGAACGTTGCACGAAGCTTCTACCATGCGGTCATCAATGTCCGAGCATTTGCGGTGAAGAATGTCCTACTGAATACTGCCAGTGATGCGGTATGAAATCCGAAGAACAGCCAGACATGATCATGATGTCAAGTTACGCCGATATCGATCTCAATGAATCGCCCATCGTTGTCCTTGGCTGCGGTCACTTCTTCACAACCGAGACTCTGGACGGCCACATAGGGCTCAAGGATGTGTACGAGGTCGACAAGAAAACGGGTCGATTCATCGGTCTGATTGAGAATTCTGCGCTTTCAGCAGCAATCCCTCAATGTCCAAACTGCAGAGAACTAATCAAACAGTTCGTGACACAGCGCTACAACCGCCTTATCAACCGAGCTATCATTGACGAGATGTCCAAACGCTTTATCGTCAGCGGACAACAGACGTTTCAGCTACTAGCAGACAGGCTAACTGTTGAACGGGCTAATCTCGAAACCTCACGCACTGCTGTTATTGGCACATCTCCTGATCTGAACACCAATCAGGTTGTTTACGAAATGAAGATGCGGGAAATCAACAAAAGCCTTCAAAACAGGTATGCAAGCGCGGCGAGTTTAATGGAAGCCGTCATATTGTTCCGCCGTAAAGTGGATGTTCAGCACCAACCAACGTACAAACTGTACCAAGCAATTATGCACAGCTACAAGAAGAATGCCTCCCTCGACGCCACACTTGCCCAGCTATCTCTCGGCCCATCTTCCAAGTATTTGGAGAACGACCGAGACCAGCGCGTCACTTTAGGTGGCCGCCTACTCGATATCAAAGTGCAATGTTTGATACTTGAGGATAAGTTCGAAATCGCACGAGTGGTACCCAAAAAGATAGATGGAGCAGCACCACTCAACTTTAGTGGGGGCTCCCCCGCAAAGAAGATCCATTCCTTCCTCGAGGCATGCGAGAAACTGATCAGCGACTGCATTTCAGGATGCCTCCCCAAGCTTGCTGTCGAGTCATCTTTGTATCACGCTCGTATTGCACAAATGTTCGGCAGCTCTGGAATGGCCAAGGACACCGATCGCACTCGAGCAATCGACTACCGCAACACTGCCAAACGCCTTTTAAAGCAAGCAGAATCGCTCTGTCAGCATTCCTTCCGTGACCGAGACCTCCTCAGAAAAGCCGTGCTCAGCTCAGCGGAGATGCTGGATAGAGAATTCTACGAGGAAGTTTCAAAGGACGAAATCGAAGCTATCAAACAGGCAATGGTCAGTGGGCCGGGAGGTATCGCAACGCATTCTGGACATTGGTACAACTGTGTCAATGGACACCCAGTAAGTCAACCAACACTCCCTCTTTTGACTCTTGATACTGATACTACGTAGTTTGCTATTGGCGAGTGCGGCATGCCCATGGAACTCGCACGCTGTCCGGAATGCGGCGAGCCTGTCGGCGGCCAGCACCACACTGCCGTAAGGGGAGTTTCGCGCGCCGCGGAGATGGAGTAAACAACCAGAAAATTGACAATTTAAGTCTTCATATTGGACAAGGATAGTCAATACATGAGAGTGGGGAATGGCAGCATCGAGAAGAGGAGGTGTGGAGATTGGGAACTAACTTCGTTCCGGATTGAGTACTACGTTTCACGACGCAGCCGCATCTTCCTTGGGTATAGAGCTGCTGTACAGCTGTATCATGTAGTACGACGCATTCTCGTGTTACTTGGGCTGGTTGATTGGTGAGGTCAGGGTACGTGCTTGAGGAATCATGTGCAAGTTGAGATATTCCAACAGATCTGCACGAGGAAGCGAACAGATAGAACAGATGAATGAATAATGCAATATCAGAGCTGATTATTTTGTGGTTGAGAAAATGGTGATTAAGAAGTGTTCAATATGCACTTCGTTAAACATTGTGAGATGCACCGCAGCTGCACGCTCGGCTCCCCACGCTATCGCAAGAACATAGATATACATTGAGCATGGCGAACACGTCAACTTTTCCAGGAGAGTACCTCAATCCCTCCAAAACACAGCGATTCTTGACTATTAGCATCGCATCACGCCATTCCAGAACCTCACACCCATTTTCAACCCCCGATTTCCCAAAACATCACCACTAAGCATGGAAACCTCATCCTCACCGCACGGCATCGCGAATCACCTCTTCGCCATCACAGGCGCAGCCTCAGGCATCGGCCGCGCAACAGCCACACTCCTCGTGCAAAGCGGGGCCAAAGTCTCGCTCGCAGACAAAGACGAAGCATCCGTGCTGCAACTAGCCCTGGAACTCGGCGAAAACGCCACGGGATACAAAGTCGATGTTACAAAGAGTGAGGAGGTGGAAGCGTGGATTGCGGGTGCGGGTGAGAAGTGGGGGAGGGCATGTATAGACGGTACGTTCTTGTACTTCACACATAGTACAACATAAAACATCAACTCATAGAAATGGGGAAAAACACGTAGGCGCAGTCAACCTCGCAGGTATATCCGGGTCCCTAGCCCCAGTCCACGCGCACTCGCCTTCCAACTACGCCGCCGTCTTCGGCGTGAATGTCGAGGGGACATTCAATTGCATGGCGGCGCAACTACGCAACATGCGTGTTGCAAACGGCGATGTACCAGGCGGATCTATCGTCAATGCGGCTTCGATAACGGGATTGGTGGGGAAACCGCATTGCAGTATTTACTGTGCTTCAAAGCATGCGGTTGTGGGGCTTACGAAGGCGGCGGCGAAGGAGCAGGCGGAGACGGGGATAAGGATTAACGCGATTGCTCCGTACGTTTTTTTCTTTTTTTTTACCTTTTGAATCTTGCTTTGAGGGGAGGAGACTTACTACGCTATTCCTCGGACGTACGTGTTGGTACAGTACCGAGATGGATGCGTAGGAAGCAAAGCAAACCTATTGCCCGAACTCAGACTTACATGCGAATCACCCCCGCAGTGGCTTCGTGGATACGCCGCTCATGCATGCGCTCGACGCCGAACTCGGATTCGCGCTGCCAAACGATGCGGTGTTGGGGCGTAGGGCGCGTCCCGAGGAGGTGGCTAGGGTGATTCGCTTCTTGCTTAGTAGCGAGGCGAGCTTTGTGACTGGATCGGTGTATCAGATCGATGGTGGGATGGTGTGCTGAGTGAGCGTGCGTGTGTTGCTTGCCGATTGTGCGGGGGAGGGAGAAAGATGGAGGGTTGGGCAAATAAAGAAAGAGAAAGGGAGTTGTGGAAAAAGGAATATTAAGGCGGGTCGGGTAAGAGGATGTGTGCAAAAGCGAGACTTTGACAAGTGCGGTTGCGGTTTTTATCGTACTGCTTACTACGACGTCTTCGTCTTCTCTTTTTTTTAATTGTCTATTTTGGCTTATGAAGGGTCAAACGAAACGTTTAGCGTAAGAGAAAAGTTTGGTACGTGTGAGTGGGGGGAGTAACGAGGGAGTGGGTGTCGGGACACGACGATTGATAGGCACCGTTTGAGTTCTTTGGTACCGAAGGCGGACGTTATGGCATTTCATTGCCGCTGCCTTGCGCTAGTTACCCAGATATCAGGAGATTCTTGCGGGGAAAAAGAAACACCAGAGAAAAGACTGTATCTGGCGTTTTGGTGATATTTGGTTGTGTCGGGAACGCCGACCGAACCAACGCGAGCTGAGAGAGAAGAAAAGAGTGAATGCAGCATTCGGCGAATATTTTTTCGCGCTACGGCCTTGTTATCCGTTGTGATGGTTGGGCAACTTTTCTTCCTTTTTCGTTCGATCGGGATTCGATCGAGATCAAGGCAGCGTGAACACGGTGTCGTATACGGTCTATATTTCTTTTGTTTCGATGCTGTGAGCTTAGCCGGATCCATATCCGGTGGCAGCATTGAACTAGCTACAAATGTTAGAACAATCATAATGAATACAGTGAGGGGTACGACAAGTCACAGCTGACATGAATGAGGGGAAATTTGTGTCGTCGTGGATGCAGAAGACGCATAAGTCAAAAAGAATTAATCTTTGATGCGCCTTTGCAGCTACGCGACCCTGAAGCTTACACCTCGTAGCCCCTTTGTTCTCCTCTTCCCATGCTCATCTGCGTCAATTTACCATCGTAATACCACACACATTAGCTTTGCTCACCGGTTAAGTTAACAAACTTTTCTCTTATAATAACTTCGTCTTACTTTTTCTCATTCCTTAGGTAAATCAGAATCAATGTTACGCATACACATACGCGGACGTAGACGTTGAAGGACGTCCATGCACGATAAGGTTGACAACACGAAGATGTGATGACTTGGAGACGCGCATCGAAGCCCGCTTTTTTAGCTTTAACTGAAAGCTTGTCTTTGACAGGAATCTTAGGATGGCGTTGAGCATTGATGTGCTGAGGGGTGGTTTCTGTGAAGCGACAGAAAACGGTGTTTGTATGATAATGATGATATAGTAGCTGATCGCTGCTGATCGAATTTCTCGATCTGTAGATGAGAATTCTTCTCTGCACTACCTAGGCATATCATACCCTTCGCTTTTTTTCATGCACTATTCGTGGCTAGTGACTGCGCGTCAAGAATACGAAACCATTAGCTACGTTTACAAAGAGTTAGAGGGGCGTTGAAAAGGGAAGCAGCCAGGTCTAATTAGACACGGAGATGCTGTGGATACGAAGCAAAAAAAAGAGAAACTTACGGATGGGCCGTCCAATCTTGTTGAAGGAGGCAAGGCATAATAGGTTGAAACGTTGGGGCTGAAAGAAGTTTGGCAGTTTAGGAAAAGATAGACAGGGAGAAAGCTTATTGGAGAGGATACGTGAAATGTGGCCGGCATGATTGGCTCATCAAGTGGGCCCCTACTCTGTATTCCAAATTAGGGTTAGTCAATTCCACGATGCAGTACAGAAGGTGAGATTATACGTATGTACATGTCGCAAACACAGAAAAAGGCAGATCCTGCATACTGTGGTCATGGTAGAAGTTGAATGTTTGAATACATTATTTGTTTGATATATGGTTCACGCCGATAGGCGGTTTACAAAGGAAAGACGATGGATACGCTTTGCGTGTGACGCTAACTAAACTTTGAGGCCTCTCAAACTACCTGTTTCCTCTTACCGCTCCTAGGGGAGAGGGAAAATGCCCCTAAAACTGAACCCAATATTGTTATCGTATGGAAGATGTACTCATTTCATTTCATGCACCCCCATCTTAGCGAATACTTTTTCGTGACGAGGATCCGTGGGAAGTGCTTGCACAATGACCGCTTCGAGTTCGCGATGCGATCCGTTGGAGCCAATACGCTCACGGTATTTCCAGTCTGTTTCTCCACTGCGTTCGGAGAGCATGACATCTTCCCTTTTACTCGGAGTTCCCCGCAGGCGATCTGTAACTGTCTGTCCCGCGGAGACGAACCAGGGGAGGCGGCCAACAGGCTTGACTAAATTGACGAAATAAGCCCAGGTCCACGATCATTAGTGTGATACTAAAGTAATTTCGGAACTTACTGGTCCAATACTCCCGGTGATCTTCATCATCTGGGACGATATAACCGCCGGAAATAACCTTTGTTATGTAGATCATCCCGTTAAGTGCCGTGTATACCATTAAACCTGCTATTAGGCCATAGGCGGCGCTATAGCCAAAAGGGATGAACATGACAGTTACGAATGCAGGGACGGCGTCGCCGATATAGCGCCAGTTGATCGACGTGATCTGTCGCATCATGAGGCAGCCAACCTGGTGACAGGGTCAACGGCGAAGCTCGGGTCACCAGTAGTACAGATACAACTTACAAGAATCAGAGTACACCCGGTAGCCCATGGTGGAATGGATGCAAATATGGGCGCGAAGAACATGGATATGATAAAACACAGCCCACAAGTCATTGCTGTCAGACCAGTCTTTCCTCCTTCGGCGATGCCAGCGCCACTTTCAATAAAAGCTGTGACAGGCGAACAGCCAAGGAGCGCGCCGATGGATATGCAGAAAGCGTCTGTGCAATAAGCGATTGTTGATCTGGGGAAGTCCCCAGTCTCTGAGTCGACAACACCAGAAAAGCGGGCCATGGAGTAGAGCGTTGCGGTACAATCAATGATGTCGACGTAAAGAAAGGTAAAGAGAGCGAGGGCGAAGTGACCAGACTTTTCGGATATGTTCCAATCTAATGCGTTCAAGGTACGATCAATAGGCTGGAAGCTGACCACCTTTTTGAAAAAGTTGAATCGGTCGTTGCCAATTTCGGAGTCGGGGAAGAAGGTCACTTCAGTTCCTCGTCTGTAAAGATTTTAGTACAATTCGACTTTCAGAAGAATTCATCAAACGTACGGCCATGAGATGATAGATACAAGCAGAATAGCCAGTATCATGGCACTCTTGACTTTGTAAGACATCAAATACGCTGTCAGGATGCCGCCGCACATGATGCCAAGCCACATCTAAATGCTCTGATTAGCTGGGCTTTGTCCAGGTATTGTGACACAACGTACCGTCGGTGATGTCATCTTGTGGCTTTTACAAGCGCCAAACTCATCCTTGTATTGATTTGGACATCCAGCAATGTCAAGTGGTGTACTGCTCGAACCCGCAATAGCTCCAATGCCAGCATTATTGCTGAGACCCACCTCGGCTAGGAATAGCCCGATGCCGCAAGCAGCGGCAATCTTGAGCGACACCGGGATCACCTTAACGAGCCATTGTCGCATTCCAATCAAGGACATGAAGATGAATATCAGGCCCTCAACGAAGACGGCAGTAAGTGCGAGGTTGTAAGAGATAAGACCGCCTCCATGGAAACCCACGATTTGATAAGCAAAGTATGCGTTGAGTCCCATTCCTGGGGCGAGGCATACTGGCATGTTCGTTAAGAATCCAAACAGGAAGGAACTAAAGCCTGCTACTGCTGCTGTTGCTGTGATGAGATTACGGTTGACATCTGGTCATGTGTTAGCCAAAGCTTCTAGTTCCTGCCTAGACTGCTCATGCCTTGTTTGCAAATGAGGTACTCGCTGTTTTTTAAGCACAAAGGGTCGGCTGTGTCGTTGCATACGCAGTTTCCGCCGGTGTCCGAGAGAATGGTAGCCTAGTCTCTCAGTAACGTTTTTGGCATGCGACCCTTCACAGACTAACATTGACAGCGATGATGTACGCCATGGTGAAGAATGAAGTGAGCCCAGCTCGAATTTCTGTAGTAAACCTAGTGTGCTTGATTTCATCCTCCTATTTGGCATGTCAGCGAGTGATAGTAGGGCGCGAATGCTAGCAATGAAACACACATGTCCACAGCCGTCGAGGCGAAATATCCTCCCGAAAGTTGACTTTCCGACCTGGGCATTGAAAGCGTCGACATAGGCGTGATAGGTTTCCATGGCTGCAGATGTGTGAAGACAAGCAAATGTGGAGATGCGGATCTTTGCTGGGAGGAGGGGGGCGAGCAGGAGGACTGCAAAGGATCTGCCTGCACCGACTATATGTGTGTCGCGGGTGGCGTGGTATAAGCAAGCATGAACGAGGCTCAAGCAAAAGCAGATGTCATGTATAGGGCTTGCGACTGCGACGAGTCAGACCGAAGCCATAAGCAAAAGGCAGATGATAATGCCACTGAGAGATAAGAGGGCTCCGAGGCTTTGCTAGTCTGGAGACCAGAAGCAGGCCAGACGGCAAGGCGCTGACGGGGGCGGGGAGCAAGGAGAGCCAGTTCCGGCACCAGGTCAGAAACCAGGCATCCGAAAGCGTTCTCATGTAGGGAACTAAGGGGTGACGCAGTGGTGGCATGATCCTAGTCAGTGCCGCCGCCGCAAGAGCGTTGTCGTACAGGCGAACCGGATGCTGTGGAATGATACGCGCGGGTGGGGTGTAGGTGAAGTAGCCCTGTGTGGTGGTGGAGGTGGTGGTTGAGCATTGTATGATCATGGGCAGAAGCGAGTCAGGGGCGCGGGTGGGCCGGCCGGGGTTAGTCAGGCACCCTCGCTGCAGATCGAGCCGCATTTCGCCTGGCGCATCTGTCGATCATCAGTGCAGTAATACTCGCCCCGCACTGGCAGCAGACGGCCAACGCCTCGGCGTCTCAGTGGCAGTGGGTGTTGCGCCATGGGGGGTTGTTTCTTTTGACTGCACATGGCGTGTCTAATGTGTCGGTAGTAGGTGTCCTGTGCCCAGTGCTCAAAGGCCAGACTTTGCGCCGCTACGCCGGGTGCGTGGCACTTGGCCTGCGTCGACGAAGATCAACACTGATCTCCCGCCGCCGAACGACTCGATTTTTCCTCTTACGTCTGCCAGGCGTGTCTGGTAAGCCTGCTGGTGCTCCACAAGACGGGCCACCATGTCTCCTTGTCAAACCTTGCGACCGAATACCGCGGAGTGCAGACCAAGAGGCCGACGGCCTGACCAGGCTGGCTGCGCCTATCGTGCAGCATTGCAGTGTGCTTTTTTCGGGGAAGTCCCGCACCAGATAGAGAGACGCATTGCACGCCCTTAGCACGTGTGGCCGCAGACCTCTCCAGCAATGCGACCAGCATGTCCAAGAAGGGCATTGTGTTGGGCAACCGTGCGCCTAGCATCCGAGCACGACAGCATGGGGGTGGGTAGTGCGCTTGGCCGTGTAGTTTGGCTCGGGAAGCCCTGATATTAGACCTAAAGTAGAATCAAGAGGTCAATAACGCCACATTCTCGTTGGTGCGACAGCGTTTCGTCAATTACTCACATACGGCCGGTGCCAGGTACCGCTACGTGGTCTGCCTGGCGGCCGCAACACCATCTGCCAGGCGCCCGTGTCGGCGTGCATTGACCGACCAGAAGGCTCCATTTCATTCACAAATAGCCTCCAGTCCACGCTCTGCGCTCGCCACCTAGGGCCGTCGACTTAGAGTGTGGCCCCACTAACCCCCACTGTGCCTCCTCATCCGTAGTCGAACATGTTCGCAACAGACCTTCCACTGGAGAAAGAGCCCGAGACATTCGGAGCCCGGAGAGAACGAAAGGCGAAGGAGCGATCCGTTAGGTCTCCATCCATCGGTGCCTCGACTACATCAAGAAGTTCGAGAGGCTCTGCCTCAACTGAGCGTGACGCATGGTGGCCGACAAGCTTGAAGAAGGCAAACATCATCAAGCCTAAAATCATACGACCTCCGTCCGGCTCCAGTCAGTCTTCGCAAAAGACTTTCCGTAATGTTCCGGCGACACTGGATATGAAAAAGGCCAGTGAATTCAAGGATCCGGCGCTGCAACCAAGTTGGACGTATACTAGCTCGCTTTCTGGCACTCTGCCATCCGGCAACTCTTTACACTTGGATGAATACCACCAGCTCTCAGAACTAGAAGGTGATAACTCTTCTCGACAATCAAGCTCCATTTCATCACATGCCTCGAGTAGGTCGTCAATCACCATGTCGTGTTGGGAGTTGCGCTGATCTTGTTGGGCAGATGACCGAGATGAGGCAATGACACCCATCACAGTAGATAGCGACGACGCACCTCAACTGTCAACAATGAGTCCAGAGTCGTTTGTGACAAGCCGAAGCAGAGCGAGTTCATCGGCCGGCGAACACTGTTCTTCAACATGGCCGTCTGTTCTGGACATGAGAAGCAAGAAAAAGGCGTAAGCAGTATGGCTTTTGTTGTTGTGTGCTTGTACTAAGCCTCTGCAGCTCTCCACAGCCAATAAAGAAAGGATATTCGAGACCAGAAGCGTTGGAATTATACGAAAGCTTCCACACAAAAATGAGTTCGAATGACATACGAACGCCCTCTTTCGACTCGGACATGTCCAACAAGCCTTTCTCGCAATGGCAATGTCTCGCTCCTCGTGAAGTGCCCACAGAGATGCAGCTGAATGTGCAACCGCAGCCATCAGCCAGCATACTATATTCTCCTAATAGCAGCTCCGTGCAGCTTACCCGATTTCAGCGATTTATTCGCAGAATGGAGTCTGCAGGCCCCAAGGTTATACTCGATCGACTCAAGGAAGACTGGCAGGAGGCAACCAGTGATGGGGTTGACGAAGAGGCATGTATAGATGTCTTGGTATTGGAGATGCCCAACTAATTTTTCTGCGTCAGTTGATACTTGAAAAGCAGCTCTGGCTCTTGACAGGCCTTCAGATGCAAACTGCAAGACACGACAAGAGCACCCCTATACCAGAGTTCAGCACGGGCAAGATCCTAGAGCTGTACGGAAATCTTTGTAAGTCAATGTTGTATTCTGTGCTACGCTGCTGTGTAAGTTCTAACGTGTGTCATTAGCGGAGGTATACCAGTTATCAGCAATGCATCCATCCCAAATGGTGCATTTTCTCACCACAAAACCTCAGCAACATGTTCCCTTGCCTGGAAATGTATCATACTTGACGGTGCGCAAGTTTGGTTCGGTCCCACTGCCTTACCCGGAAGACTACTTTTCTCACATCCGAGCGTCAACTTTACCATCTCTTGTACCATCTTCCGAACTGCCCGAGTTGTTCAGTGAATGCTACAAGCTGCTTGCCCCTGGCGGCTTCTTAGAAATCAGAGTCATGGATGCAGCCCCTGTACGCACCACAGCCGGGCCACTGATGCGCGCGTGGATTGAGGACAGGCTTTCCGTCAACCTAGAGCAGCTTTTCAGATGCTCCAAACCGTGTGCACTACTCCCTGCGTGGCTAAAAGACGCCGGCTTCGAATTGGCCGATCAACACAAAGACCAGAAGTTAACATTACCGTGTGCTTCTGATCCAGAGTCTGCCAAAGTTGATGACGAGCTTTCCACCATCATTGGCCGTGCCTTGTGGAAAGACATTTGGGGAAGCTTTGTAGACGACTCTCCTGACGAGCCCAAGTGGTGGTGGGAAGATAAGGATATTGTGGAAGAGTGTGTGAAGCGCCAAACCGTCCTTGAATGCAGGACAATATTCGCATACAAGCGAGAGGTGGCTCCGTGAGCACAAAGGTAATACTAACGAAGGTATGATGTGTGTGCTGGAAGTGGCATGGGTGGATTTTTTTGCGTTTGCTGTGTAATATAGATACCCGATGCGTTATTATGAGCTATAATTTTGAGAAAGTGATGATTTGACTGCAACAATGGAGTTGTCGTTGGTACACTGGGTGTGGTGAGATGTCAAACGATACACGGCCCCACTAAAGTGTCGCGCCTACTTCTACGTACCCGCACGTGACAGCGCGATACTGCCTAATGTATGCTTCTAAAGAACGCGTCTTGAACTCTAAGCTAACTCTGATTCCAACCATCTCTCCTTGAAATCAATTACACGCTCTAATAACAACAATATACCGCAAATAACTCAAGCCATTTGAGAGTGTACAGCATCAAAGCCATGTCATTGCATCTGGCTCTCGGGCCTCAGCCGCGACGTCCGTGCCACGTACTCTGTTTCAGCTGGATAGTGTGCAACGCGCTGTAGCTACAATACAAGATCAGCCACGGTGTCGGCATTTCCGAGCGCTCTCCATCAGTCAGCCCGCCTCTTTTCGCTCAACTGTGTTGTCACTCAGTCTCGTTTCGCAGGCTGAACACCAGTGGCTTCCAGCACGATCCCGCTACCACAAGTGCGTAACCTCATCGACCACTGGAGCGCTCCCTCACCACTCCATCTATCCACGCCCAACTCGTCGGGCCACTGGCAAACTACCGACCTGGGCCTGGTCCTCGCCCATTTCCCCCCACCACCCCTGTCGATACCCGGCTTACGCTTCGATATATTGCTGCCGAAAACAAACCACGTCCAACCTGGAAAAAAAATAAATAAATAAAAAGATGCTCAACTCTTTGGGCACCAAGCTTGCGCTACGGAAAGCCGGATTGGGAAACATTTCGCTTCCAAAGACCGACAACTTGTTTGGTGGCAACAATAGCACAGGGAGTTCGAAAAAGGGCGCTGCAGACGGAGGAGATGCGGGCTTCGCCAACCCATTCGCAAATGTGCAATGGGGAGTCCCCAAAGCATTTCAATCATGGACCACGCCTCCGCCGCCCCAGGATCCCGTCCGCCGGCCCCCGCAAATAGGAGATCGCGCCCAGTCGCATCCGAAGTTGCAGTTCCCAGCGCCTGACAGGCGCCCTACAATAATTTTGTTTCTGCGCTTCTGCGGATGTCCTTGTAAGTTTTCTTCTTGGTGTAGTAGTATCTATTTCAAGTCTTGGACTCTTCAACGCAAGTATTTTGAAAAGCAACATTGCCACCATCGTCTCCATCCATCATCCGATGAAGAAAGAAAACAGCAAAAAAAAACACACACACAAGCCCACCAAACAAACCCAAACTTTACCACTATACACACATAAAATCTAATGAATCACGACAGTCGCACAAAAACTCCTCCTCCGCTTCCGCACCCTCGCAAACAAATACCCCTCGATCCGCTTCATCGCCATATCCCACTGCACCCCTGCCGCCACCACCGCCTGGCTCTCCAAACTCGGCGGCGCCTGGAACGTCGACATCATCGTCGACCCCGACCGCAACCTCTACGCCCTATGGGGCCTCGGCATCTCCACCTGGGCACACGTCTTGCACCCCCGCAACGGATACAACCAGGTGATGCTCAGGAAGAACGAAGGCGTCTGGGGACACGAGGTTGGCGACGGAGCGTGCAGGTGGCAGATTGGCGGCGCGTATGCGGTGGATGGGCGCGGCGTCGTTACGTGGGGGGCCCCGATGGAGTCGGTGGATGAGGAGATTCGGTTTGAGGATGGGGTTAAGACGTTGGGGTTTGGGGAGTCGAGGATGTAGCGGGGGGAGGGGATGTGTATAGAATTAGACTGGGTTTTAAGGGTTCTTTGGTTGCTTTAGAGGATTGCTGCGTTGAGAGCGAGGTCGCGTATCATACTTTTGTCGAAATTTTAGACGTATGGAGTTCAAGTCCGAATCTCCGCTTGGAGATATCTTCAGCACTTTGTCAAGCCAACTTCTCTCGTGAAAAAGGTAATATCCGTACACACCAATCCATGTATTTCACCCACCATACTATATACATGACTACTATCTACAATTCCCCCCCCCCCTTTTAATTACACCTTCCCCATCTCCACGCCCATAATGTCTAATATCATAATCTCCACTCTATACAACCCCCGTCCTTCCTTGCCATCACGAAAACATTATCTACATACCATCATTACCCGCATTCCTCCCCCCAAATAATCCAAAGAAAACGTAAATTAACTCGCGATGCTCATGACGCGATATCATCATAGGGGTACGTGTGACCGTGAGGGGTAAGTTCTGAGGTATCATGTCTAGAAAAAAAACTCGCAAGAAGAATGAGATAAAAGGAAATCGTTAAACATCATTAGGAAAGAAACAGGAAAAAACAGGCCGGGTTTTTTTGCTCTCTCTCTCTCTCGCGCGCGCGCGCACGCACGCAGATGGAGGAGGAGGATTCCGGTTCGATCGCATTGGGTGCAAGATTCCGGTCCCAGAAGTCCGGGAGAGAAAGAAATGCGGAGGAGGGGGGAAATTCCCGGCGAGATGGTTGTCCGCATGACCGACTAAGGATCCGAAGAAAGGAAAGAGTTGCGTACTCTATTCCTTTCTTTTTTTCTTTAGGGAATCATCGCCGACGGGGCATCGGGACAAACTTTCTCTCTAAAAGTATCGGTCGACAATGTCGTATCCGCTACGAACAGCCCACTCGACGATTTCCATGCCGCTGATACCGCTGGCATAGTATGTCTTTTTGCAGCCTTGGAGGTTGTTGTATTTCTCGTAAGCGCCTGCAGCAAGCGCCTCGCTGCCAAAGTGGGGGAAGTAGTCCCACTTGCGGAAGGCTTTGACGTCTTCTTCGGTAAAAGGGGAAGGCTTGGCTGTGGCATTCCTTGGGTCCTTGTTGATGGCGGATAAGCTGTCGATGAGTAGGCGTTTAGCGGCTGCTTCGGTCTGGAATTCGTAGGGACCCCAGGACCAGGCTACTGAGACGTTGGATTGCTGGCTTAGGCGCAGAATGGCGACGGGCTCGCCGTCGTTTGGTGGAGGCACATTGGGTGAGGTGCTGGCGGCGACGTAGGACACGCCGAATGGAAGCTCGAGCTCCACGGCTGACGAGTAGTACTGGTGCGTCGTGACATTGGCAAAGGTATTGTGCTCTTCCTCGGTCAGGTCGACGCCAACGCGCTGCAGGTTGTCCAGGCTTGGGGGAAAGGCGAAGATGACGGAAGAGCATTCTTGCTTGTTCCAAGAAACGAAGTTTCCTTTTGGTACCGTGTAAGTCAAGACTGGGTTGGGTCCCGATCGGTCTACACAGCGGACATCGGCAGATGTGTAGATGGGCGTCTCGCAGAGCTCCTTTTTGGTGTACTCGGCAAACATCTTGTGAAAATCCATGTAGTACACATTGCGAATGCCTGCAAAGGCTGTGAGAATGTCAGGCGTGAAGTACTTTAGGATGTAGAGCTAGTCAGATGTTAGCGCGTTCTGCATGCGCGATCCCTGCAAAAATGTTGGCGGGCCATGACGTACTGCTGGGACAATGTTGATATCCCCATAACCATAGAGCGCGACGGCATTGACAAGCAGAAGAGGGAGCGCAGTGAAATTGTTCTGGCGAAACCACTCTGCGCCGGACAAGGTAAATTCGTGTGGGACACCGTCCTGTTCCTGCATTAGCCTAGTGGATTTTGTGTATGACAGGGGGCAGCTGTACCCTGTAGTTGAGAGCACTGGCGGGTCGGAAGCGCTCATTCCACAGTACAACGTATCTCGGGATCTCTGCAGCGACCGTGGCGGCGAATTGCGCGCTCAAGGCAGGGTAGGGCAGGATGTCGCCGCTTGTAAAGTTGTAGATGTACTGGCTGCGCGCGCCGGCAAGCGAAAAGGACTCAATGGCAACATCGGTCTTGTTTAGTATGCCAACGGTCTCGGTGTAGGTGCCATTGGAGAAGAAGGCAGCGCCGAGAGGGTGGAAGATGCCTCTGGATGGGCGGTTAGTCGCGTCTGGAGGATTGCGACGCTGAGTAGGACTTACTTGTCATCATACCACGACTGGCATTTACCACCGACCTTTTCTTGTCGGTCGAAGACAACAGCGCTGATGCCCTTGTCCTTCAGCCTACCAGCGGCGGCCAAGCCGGCCGGGCCTGCGCCAATGATGCATACTGGTTTTTTATGATGATGAGAGTCGCCAGTTGGGGCTGAGAGGACCAGCGAAGGAAGCGCGATCAAGGATACGAGGAGCGACCACATGGCAGAGAGAGAGTCGAGGGTGAGTTGGACGCAAGGGGACAATTGGGGAGGGCATGAGAAAGGATGGGGCACCAGTACCTGCAGCTTACATATAGCAGTAGTGCTGGGTGCGGAGGCTTGCGTAGTTTGGTTTCCTTTTCGGATGTTCAGTGCCCTGTAGGGCCAGGCGCTGCGCGGTGCGTTGGCATTAGACGGGATACAGGCGGGCTAGCACAGGGCCATGCTGCCACCTCTGACGCCAACTCTGGATTTGCAGCCATGGTCAGGCTGGAGCGAGCATTCGCGAGGTAACTTTTGCAATGGTAAAAGGTCGTGCGCAGAAGCATTGGGCGCCTCCTGTGACGTTTGGGACGAGGGTCTGCTACGCGGGAGGAGGTCGGTATGGATGTTTTTTTATTTTTTCCCGCAGGCCCCGGCCTGGTCGCAGTCCGGGACAACGGCGGCCCAAGACAGGCAGATTACATGTACTGCCGCGCCGCAATGGGATAAGCAGGGCGACGAGCGTGTCTATGATGGGCAGACGGTGGTTGTCGGCAGGCTTCGCAGCAGGTTCTGGAAGCGGTGAAGGAAGAGGTGTAGGCACATGTCATGGTGCAGCAGCCATGCGGTACGCGAGTCGGGAAATGGAGCCAGGGCTTCTGTCGCCATTCAGCATTCAGCCCTGTCGCTAGTCCCCCCGCCAACGTTTGACCTCCAGCCGCCCATCTCGTCGGGACTGGTTCCCGCCTCTTCAAAAAGCCTCTTCAAGAGCCCGACAACACTGCATCTTTTACGCCCTCCGTCAGGCCGCTCGCTATTGCAGACACGTCGCCTACACACACCTCTGGCCTGATGCTGGCCTCTCTTGCACTGCCCGCGCCGGATTGGGCACGCCGCGTCGAGACAGACGTCATCTCCCGTCGGCGACTAAGCCTGCGTTGGTTATGCCGCGAGATTGACACCTCACTCTGCCAGCCTTGCCGTGACAATCCGACCAGGCATCGTGACGGCGGAAATTGCGCCCGCTGCGTAAACTCCATGCGCATGCGTGCAGTGGAGAAGCGGGATGGGCTGACATCATGTTCCTCGCCCACGGACCAATCCACCGCTGAAACATAAATAGATATGCTCAGGGTCTTGCTTCAAAGCAAAAGTCAGGAAAAGAAAGAGGGCGTCGCACCATGCTCCAACCCGGCTACCACGGCATGACGGCTCCTCACCTCAATAGCATATCCACGCATGTCCACATCATGCTCGTCTGAGCCTGGGGCAATCAAGCCAGTGTGTAGCATGTAGGTTGTCAATCGAGACGAGTACGTATGCCCTATGCAGGTTAAATCTGAACACCCAAGGGGGATCGGGTAGCCAACCGCACCTTGATACCCACGCCTCCTGCACCGTGTTCAACACCAAAGCTGCGACTGGTCTGTATCAGAACAGGGAACTGATCGCGAGATGAGTGTGGAAAAAAAAGAGGTCGTTGCCCTGATGGGCTGACGTGATGGCATTACATGCTATCGTAGTACTAACCGCCTCGTTAAGAGACGCGAAAAGAAGAGACTGGCATCGTAATGCACAGTTGACCGCCCAGACAACAAGGACAAGAGAGGAAAGAAAAGAAAAGAAAAGAAAGAAAAGTCAAGTCCGAGAGAGCCGCCCAGTCTTGGTTTTTCCCAAGTGAGGATATTGGTGGTAAGAAAAATACAAATGAAAATGAAAGTCGAGGGTACGAGTGGCCCACCAGGAAAACCCCTAGTTCAACGGCACCCCAACGCCACACGCTCAACGTATGCGAATATTAAATAAAGGTAATGTGCACTGCGCCTCGCGATCAGTACATGTAGGCTTTTTGCTGCTCTATATCAATCTCGAACCGACTTTTGTCTGTGTCGCCACTCATCGGCCGCTCCGAGAAGGTGCTGTGGTGGGCTGGGTGTGTGCTGATAGCAAGCCCAGGCTGCGAGTCGTTGTTCTCTGTCAACCTGCGTGTGTCCAGCTCGACCTGGTCGATGACGGGTGTAATCTTCTCCTTCTTCTTGCTGTGTTGCGAGCCGCTTGCGTATCTTGAGCCCTGTTGCCTCGCTCGATGCGGGAAAAGTAGGGGCTTGAGCGCCGGGATGCATCCGCAAATAACACCGACGTTTGTTTCAATGGCCGTCCATACCCAGATCTGGTATCCTTCCCAGGTTGCGTCGTATGTTCGGAACAGTGTGTAATGGACCCAGTAGGCTCGGAAGCTGCTGGCAACAACAATAAGCCCACCGACGGAAAAGAGAACGACCAATCCGAGGCGTTGACTCCATGGAAGTGATAGCGAGAAGAGAGTGGGGATCGGTAGTGCGTAGATCATGAAGTCGGTCACGACATTGAGGACACTTTGTACGACAAGCGGGGGTCCCTCGGGAATACAGTCACGGTGGTCGGAATTCAGCTTCCAATAGCTCGAAATTGGACTGCAGTTGTCAGCACTAGAAGGCCTGTTTTCTTTGGACATACTTACATGCACTGTACCCATAGGGCAACCAGAAAGACGATGAAAGCGGCAAAGACGAGAGCAAACGTCGCCCACACCAACTTGCGGAAAATGGACTTTTCAGGGGCGATGCGGAAGTACGATACCAGAATCGACATCTTAATAGTCGATGATGCAAGTACAAATAATGTTTGGCCTGCCATAGACGCCTGCAGTGTTTGGTTAGCATCAGCTTATCGTGCCACGAGCCAACCCATGGTCGTACCTGTCTGCCAACCATCATTTCATGTGGCTTCAGGTCCCAGGCATGACGGTCCCAACCGTACAGCTGAGACGCCATGATGACAATGACGGTAGTACCTGTATGATGAGTCAGTCATGATGGGTCTTGATGCGAGCTGGTGGGGGTTAGGAACGCACCAATACTGAAGATCATGGCAACAATCATGAGATAGTCGTCATACCAGCTCTTCTTCAACCATGATATCCGTACCCAGAGCCTGAGGAAGACGACTATCATGGCAATCGGAAGCAGAGTCAACTCGACAATCATCAACCCCGGGCCTCTAGTGACGGGGTCGATGTAGTTGGGCTTGGGCCAGGTCTTCAGGACCTCTGGCGGGGGAGACCTCATTGTGGGCAGCAAAGCAAAGTTTCAAACAAGGTAGATGGACTTGAGATGGATAATAGGTCAGACTGAGGAACGAGCGTCATCAGCGTCCAAGATGCACGGGACTGGGAATGAACAGGAATATAACCCTCCTCGAGGGCGACAAAAGGGACTCGGACCAGTCCGCTCAAGCTGCGCCGTGCACATCGGCTCGACTCCATGTGGAACTCGCCTTCACTGGGGGGGCACAGTACGCGGATACACAGAAAAACTTCGCATACGCTGCACTATTGGTAGGCGTCAACGGCAGCTCCGTTGCGGGTGCTTGGACTGGTGTCGGATTGGCCCGCAGGGGTCCCGGTGCCCTCAACACAGCCCTCGAGGGCAGCGCGCACCGTGACTTGCTGGTACTTTAGACTACTGTGGAGAAGCGAGCAAGTAGACGCAAGCTGAGGGTGGAGTGGCCCAGTCTGGGTCCAGGCATCTTGTTGCTGCGGTCCATTAGTGGCTGAGTGCAACTATGAGTGTTTGGCCAATCGCCACTAGAAGCCGGGGGTACCTGCAAAGTACCTGGGCCTAAGCGTCTGTGCACGTTGCCGTTGTACAACTTGATTTGGGCTCGTCGATATAAGCCGATACTTGTGGTGACTGACGGCGTCATCTAGACTGCCGCTTTCTACCAAGCCGGCGTCGCTCGTTGAGTGTCTGCCCTCATCCACCACGCGCCTGTCGCGTGTCGTCGTTGAGGGCTCAAAGGGTCTTGCCTTGCCTCGTTGCCCGTTGTGGCGAAGCGTCTTTCGGATCGGCCGCCGAGATGCAAGGGCCATCCCAGGCTCTCGCCTGTACGCCAGCGAATAACCTCACCGCATCCCATCAATGTGTGACGACCCATTCTTACACGCGCTCAAATGCGGATGCGGAATCTGGACAGCGCCAATTTCCCGTATCCGCTCTCTCGAGGCTCAGCTTATTTAGAAATTCTCTTCCAGCTCCAGCTCCAGCCCAACAGCAACTACTCGCCTGGGCATCTCAACTACTCTACTCCCCGTCCTGGTAATCGGAATTACTTGGCCCTTCTGACAGCTGTCATGACATTCCATTATAGCGGATGAAGATATAATAGGTGGCGATTTTAACGTGGCTTTGCCTTCAGGTGACGATAATTGCTAGAATCATTATGCACGCTATTCCCTCCAAGGTAACTGTCAAAGGCTGGGTATGCCTACTCGGACGCATCGGATGGCTACCCACTCCCGGCACGGGATGCAAGTAAGCTACCATCACACACAACAAAAGTGGTTGAACAAAAACCCTGGTCCTAGTGCCCATCCGTCCCAACGTCCCATGCTCCTCCCTGTCTCTCTCACTCCACCTATGCCGCCCCCGCGGCCCATCTTGTCCTGTCCCTTGGGACCGATGACCGCGTCAGCCAGCCGTTACCCACTTGGCCCGTTGGAAGCCTACTGATCCTTCATGACAGGTGGTCCATCTCTCCCAATGACCTGCATGCACGCATCGTGTTCGCATCGGGATCATCGTTGCAGTGGTTGCGAGAGAGTGTTTTTTTCAGCCCTCAATAGTCCGCTACCAACCCTCATCACTAGCAACAATAACAACAACTGTACAGAATCTTCTCCTGTCTCAGTTAGCACTGAATCTACTCAGACAACTGAGATTTGGATAGACAATTTGACCCACTATTTTCAGCTACTATGATGAAACTCCTCTTCCCAATTGGCTTTGGATGTCGGATATCCCTGGACGCCCTCCACATTTCCAGATCTTCCCGTACCCCTTTTGCATCTCGGCGTATTTCAACTGTTCAAGGACATGGGTTCACTACCAAATGTTAAAGCTGATCGAGATTGCAGTCATGAACTATATTACATTTTCCGTTTAATCATTCCATATCAGAACGCCAGAGGACGACCCAGCTTTCAATTGCCTAGCCACAAAACGCCATCAACACTGTTCAGGACTACCCAAGTCCCAGAAAAAACATTTCCAGTTCATTTCGAACAAAACAAGCACGAGCAATAATCTCTCGACCTCACTGGTCCTCCGATCACCACACCACTCCTCCCGATCGCACTACCATCTTTCATCGGGCAACCTAAAATAAACACTACACCAATCCCACACCTCCCAACTCAGACCACAAAAGCGTCAAAGCACATTGCCATCGGCACTACACTCGGCCCAAACACACAACTACCGACATGACCCAAAAAAACGCCCTTGGATCCCGCACGCACCCCCCTCTACGGGAGGCTGAACCTATTCCATCCCGCCCTCCCCTACGACCATGTTTCTGGCCCTACCCACCAGGGAATCGCCACTCATTTCCAACCTTCCCACGCACATGGCATCTCGTCACGACACATTTTGTGGGGGCCTGGGCCCTGAGGGTTAAATCCCAAACGCCACTGACAGAATAGAGGCATCGCGACCCTCCAATCACCACGCAAAGTCTGCAAGGCTTATGAAAGTCGCCGACATCGCCATGTATGTGTCAGCTCACTTGTAGCGCGATGAGCGTGTGATGGGCTGGTGTTACTAAACCCCCCTCCCCCCTTATCGAGTGATGGAGTCCTACATCTCGCTTAGAAGTATACGGGCTTGATGATGCTGTGGGGTTGTGCAAAGACGTCATTGTAGTGTGTTTGTATCTGAGGTATGCAGGAGAATAGGAGGGTTGATGTCTAAGAAGTTTTGCTTTTTTATTTGCTGGTTTGCTATGGGATAGGAGTGCCGGTACGAACAGTTGTTGCAAATCGTCAAGGTCCATCTCACAAAGCCTCACTGATGAATCTTCTTTGATCAGAACCTTGCTTTTCCAAGGCACTCTTGCTAAGCTTATTAGCTCTCCTTCCCTTTTTCCCAGAAGCATCCACAGCATACCCCGAACATACCCAACATACTCACCGCACAAAAACACACTCCACAAACTCGACTTCAAAGTTTACAAAACTCGCTTTAACACACAAACTAACTCCCGTTACCCCCTCCTCTTTATCAAATCCGCCGCCTTCTCCGCAACCGCATACATAGTTGCTTCCAAATGCGCCGCGGGAATCATCGGTATCATACTCGCATCCACGACACTCAGCCCTGCCACCCCATACACCAACAACTTGTCACTAACACAACCCCCCAGCTCCTCAGGCATCATACTGCACCCGCCGCTCGGATGTGCAAACGACGGTTGCAACGACCCGGACTTTACACTTCCCTCTATAATCTCCTCGTCAGTCTGATACTGCGGCCCGGGGCTCGTTTCAACGGGGCTGTAGCGAGAAAGTGCGGGTGAGGATGCCCAGTGAGCGCGATTGAATCGCGTGAGCGCTACCATGATGTCTGCGTCGACGGGGTTCTGGAAGGTGTTCCATTGAACGATTGGGTAAGCAGCGGGATGCGTAGTGTTTAGTGTGATAGTGCCGCGGGAGAGGGGTTTGTTGTTAGCGATGCCGGAGAGACCCCAGGGTTGAATGACAATTTCGCCGACGGCAGCGTTGGTGCGGGAGAGTTGGGTGGCGAGGATGGCGCGTTGGGCGGTGAAGCCAGCGAGGAGGTGGGGGTTGGTTGAGTAGCGTTCTGGGAGGAAGTGGGTGGGTATTTGGGAAAGGAGTTTTGAGGCTGTGGTTTTGAAGGATGGGGAGAAGTGTTGGAGGGCGAGGAAGATGAGGCCGTTTGATTTACCGGCCGAATACGGGCCAGTACGAAATTCCGAGTATTCAACATACGCTGTCTGGTTGAATGTCGCGTTGGTGTTGAGGGCGCCCATGTTCTCGGCATTAAGATTTTGCAGGTCGAAGTTCATGTAGCTGGCGATGTGGTCTTGGAAATTGGAGCCGACCGCTGGGAGGTCCTGTGGGCATGCAAATGTCAGGGTTGAAGTATACAGAGTACGGTTCGTCTGGCTTACCTTCTTTACAGTGACACCCGCGGCTTCAAGTACGTCTTTTGGTCCAATACCAGAGTACATAAGCAGGTGTGGTGTGAATACACCCCCGGCGGCGAGAATCACTTCTTTGGCTGCGAAAACCTGGGCTTGCTCGTTGGTACTCTTTGGCGTGTACTTGACACCAGTTGCTCTCAAGACACCAGCTCTATCTCTTGAGAAAGTGATTTCATCGACATGGGTTTCTGTCAATAGCTTGAGATTCTTTCGTGATGCGACAGGATCATAGTACGCTGTACGTGCAGTGGAGCGCGTAGCCGTAGTTTTGTCAATCGAATTTGGCGACCAATAACGACCAACAGGCTCCGAGAAACCTTCCTGCGGATGAGGTATGTCAACATCATCCCACGAGTGATATATAGTCTTCATATCAGGAAATTGGTAGTCTGGAATAGACACTTTGAGCGGGCCATTTCCGTAAGCCTTCGCATCGTACTTGATGCCAAATTCCTCGGTAGTCTCATTCGAAGGTGCGTCGAAGTGATTGCTTTTCATGAAGTATGGTTTCAGACCCTGCCAGTCCCAGCCTTTGTTTCCCAGCTCCGCCCAAGCGTCGTAGTCGGCATCGGCGCCGCGATCGAATTGCATGCCATTTACAAATGAGCCGCCACCAACGACATTACCGACTGTTACCAAGAATGTTTGATTACCGAGTGCTGGGACTGGAGCGCTGTGTATGTCATACATGGCTGCGAGGTTTAGGCCACCTGAATTGCCGGGGATACTAGAAAGGGTGCTGTTGCTGAGGGCGCCATTTTCGATAACTAAGACCGTTTCTGTCGGTGAAACCTTTCAGAATGGACGTCTATGAAATGATGTTGTGACGGATAGCGACTTACTGTTCTGGTCTTCGCTCAACCTGTTTGCAACGACTAGGCCTGTTGTACCACCTCCAACAATGACATAATCATAGGTGGTTTCGTTCGTGATAGCTGCTGATGCGGCCAGCCCGAATAGCGAAAAAATCACGAAAGAACGCATTTCGAGTCGAACAATTGGATCTTTCGCCTAAAAGGATCGAGCTGCCAATGCGGCTGGGCGCCAGTAAAGATTAATGCCTGAAAGCTTCGAGGGAACTAGTCCAATAAAGAGGCCATACATTGATTGTAGAAGGATATTCAGGATCGCCACAGAATTTTGGTATTCCATGCAACTGCCGCACTCGCCAGACTGATTCTAGGCTGTGGCGTGTGCCGTATCTTCGTCGTCGGAGGTAACACACCGATGGTAATATCCATCTTTGATTGAAGGGTTAGTCTTGTACTAGTCATGACCATTGTCAACATCAGAAGTGATCAAAGGAAGGATTGAGAACTAGCGGCTTTGAGGAGAATAAGGGCCCGCGGATGGCTGGCAACTGCCGTTTCCGCAGCCGTTCCCGCGTCCAAACAGAAACGGAAGCTACTAGTGGGGAACGTCTCGTTCATGATGTTATACCAATCACCAACCTTTCCTTGGGTTCCCTTGACCACAATATAAAATTCTCGATGCGCTGTACTAATATGATTTGACGCAAGATGCCGCAACCATTGAGAATGTTTGCTAGCTTTCCAAGCTAAAGAGTCTCATTCACCTTCCGAGGACGCAACTCGCCACAGCATGAAGGATTTGAACAGCGTTACTTCGCTAGGATGCTATGGGTGGCACAGCCAGTCGACTATACCTGATGAGGGCAGCGCATGGGGACTGCTTCAACATGCAACAGTACCCCTGTTCGTCCGGGTATGGGTGCGATCACGTGTTCCGATACTCCACATTGACAGTGTCTTCTGACTAGATACGCATTGGTATTGCTATACTCAGATGTCCTCTTCTACTTCAGGGTGAGTGCATACAACGACGAAGTTTTACTTTGTTTCTCTGGTAAAAGCCAATAATCATGGCACGTCGAAATTGCGACTTCGGTAACAATGAGTCGTCCTATCATAACTTTACATTCGTCCCCACCTTTGACACCAGATCAAATGAAAACACCTCGCAACCCTCCGCGGAAGTCACATATAAGCAGGGATCTGATCAAACCCCCCTAAAGAAAAACCATCGCCCAACGAAATCGCATGATCTAACCTTGAACTCTGGACCATCAGACCTTACATAATTTCTGCAAAGGCTGAAATATGTATATCAGAACATGTTTTAGATCCGGCAATTACAATGATAAGCTCAGCGGAGCGTTTCGAAGGAAGTGACGTGGCTCGCGTGCCTCGCCAACCATACATGTCCAACAGCGACGGTAGAATGAAGCCGCTTGTGATTGACTCTGTAACGGCTTGCCATTTGATGGCAGTCAACTTCACGTCCAACATTACCCAATATGTGCTGTTCCGACCAAGAGATCCCCCACGTACAATCACCCGCCCTATGTATGTGGATCGACGTTGATACGTCCTCTCATTCAAAGAGTGGCATTCCCCTTACAGCAGCTCCTGCACCCTTCGAAATCCCCAATCAGATTTTACTCGTCACAAACCTCTTTTGACCTCCCAGAATGGCTAAATCATCACCTCCCGAAGAATGGCCAAATCGAGGAAACGAACTCATATCTACTGCATCCATAATGGCCACTCTATGTACTCTAATAGCAGCCTTACGACTTACCGTTCGCCTACACATCAATAAACACCTAGGACTTAGCGACTGGCTCATGGCAGGAGGCGTTGTATGTCTATTCGTTCACGTCGGTACTGCCAAGCTGATTCATCCGTTCAGATCCTAAACTTCCTGGGCTGCGTACCTTACGCAGTACTCGCGGCAAAAGGTGGCCAAGGCCGTCTAATGGCAGATCCATGGTGGCTTGTATCAGGGCGTACATCGTACGAACTACATATGATTTTCATTACGCAGTGTCTCAACGTCTACGCAATGTTCCTTGTCAAGGCGTCCATTTGCGCTTACTTGATGGCATTAGATTTTGGACGCAGCTATCGCATTCTCATCTGGACATCTGTTGTTATCGTAGTGCTATGCAACTTTGTCATGATGCTTATACTGCACTTTGCGTACTGCCGGCCTTACTACTCGCGGTGGGATTTTAGTGTCAAGGGAGAGTGTTGGCCTGAAGCAGTCAGTGATGCAACGGCTTACGTGCAGATTGCATCCAATATCATTACCGATTTAGTGAGTAGAGTGTACATGGACTTTCAAGATCGAGTCTAACGACTGTTAGATCTATGCTGCTGCACCTATCGTGTACCTAAGGCATATTCAGCTCAGCAAGCAGACGCAGTGGGGCGTCCGAATTGTTTTCCTACTGGCGCTGGTGTAAGTACCCAACATAGACTAATGCACAACGCGCAAGCTCACAAATGGCACCAGTGGCACCGGGCTTTCCGTTGCCAAAATCCCCATCACCACCAAGCTTCTCAAGTCACAAGAGATGATGTGGGATGCTATTGATCTGAGTATTTGCAGCATCAACGAGGTCTGCGTCGGCATCATCGTCGCAAACCTTCCGCTCCTGCGAAACACTATCCTAAGTCTGTTCCCGAAGATCATCCCAGCGAGCTTTGCCACAGCCATGGGTGTCTCGCAAAAACCCACCAGCCAGTTTGATATGGTCCCTTCGCACTATGCTTCCAAGGGCCGCACCAAGCTGCAAGATGACGACGAAGAAAGCGAGCGTTGCATACTAGAGTTGGGGGAGAGACAGCGAAATTGGAGTATTATGAAGACTACTCAAGTGGATGTTTACAACGAAGATGCAAAATCATGCCAAATAAGCCCTACCAAAAACCCTTTTTAGGCCAATGACGAAAAAGACAACGTCAGCATAACATGGTAAAGCAAACGGATTGAATAGAAAAAAAACATATCATTAGTAATTCTACAATCGAACCCTCATTGAAATCATCATCCAGTCCGACCAGGGAAACGCCCATAAAATGCCTTCATACCACCAGTCCTCACCCTCACAAAAGCGCACCACTGATCGCCGAAACAATCACCATGCCCAGCATTCCCAGCCCAACCTTACTGACTGTAACTGCCGGCGCCGCCCCCTTCGAATCCCCCGTCGCACTCGTCCCACTCCCAGATGTGCGACTGGCACCAGCAGTCTTACTTGGCGTCCCCGTCGCAGTAGCACTATTATTCGAATTGCACATGATATCGCCTGGCCTAGCTCCATTCTCCATGAAACACGTCTGCAGCTCGCGAATCGTCTGCTCGACGCTCAGACAGTAGTATCCGCAGGCGCCGTTGAATTCCTCGACGGGTGCGGATTTGCAGCATCTGGAGAGGACGTCGGTGGTGTTGGAGGGTACGCCGCTGATGCTGCCGACGGCGCAGGCGGCGTCGCCCGTTGGGAACTGGGTGAAGTCTGCTTGTCTGCATGCTGCTGCGCTGGAGCTGGCGCTCGGGGCGCTGGATGTGGCGGAGGGTGCGAGGGACATTTTTTTTGTAGCTAGGATTTCTGAGTGTGGTGTTAGTTATCTTGTTTGGGGTTTAAAAGGTATGGTGTGCTAGAAGAAGACGTACAAGTTGTATGGGAGGTATGTATGAGCGAGCGAATGGTCGGGTATATACTAGGTGGTTGGTGGTGTTTGTTGTAGTACTGGGAATTTATAAAGAAGGGTCGGTGAAGAAGTAAATAATCAGGGACAGCCAGACGGTGAAGAAATATCCACAGAAAATACGAGTGTGATATGACATTGGCCCACGTCACCTGAACCATGCCACCGACACCGATTAGCTGTTGCCCGTCCAGCATTTCGGGCGCAGCTGGTGATCTGAGGCTGGGAGGTGGCTTGCGAGTGGCTGGAGCCCCACAGGGCTGCTTAGGGGCTCCGCATCGTCGGTTATTTTTGGCAGCCTATGACGGGTTGCCCGGGTAGCGGCTTGTCCGCTCAATGCAAGACTCCCTAATATTGCTGGGGAAAAGTAGGCATTTTCGAGACTCGATGCTGGATACAATAAATGTAGTGTCTTTGTGTAGGTCTGTGGGTGAGATATGGCGAGGCTCGACGATGGCAACTGCTTGGTGAGCGGGGAAGGCAGCTTGGCAGAAACGCAATATCACGAATCATGTCGGCAAAACCTATCCGGTATGGAAGAAAGAAAAAGAAGTTTTTCTTGAAATATATACACTATTTACAAAGTTCTTCGGTATTTACAGTGGCATGAAATGGCTCGGAATCTACAACTTGGCCTTCTCGGCCTCAGTCGCAGCATACATAAAGGCACCGGCACCCTTGCCATCATTGACCAGCTTCTCGACACCAGTGTAGTATTCATACGAGGCATCGCCCTTCAAGCTTCCAACTGTCACGGTACCCGTGAAGCTCAATGTGCCATTCTTCTCGAACTGGATGAAATCACTCAGCAACAGATTCCATGCCTTGGTAGCCGGCTGCTTGTACTCCTTGCCCAAGAGTCCCAGCCTGATTCCCTTCAGGTATGAGTAAGTGAACATGGCAGTTGCACTCGACTCGATGTAGTTGCCTTCTCTTCCAGCAAGCTCCGGGTCCATGAGGAGGTACCATCCACCCTTGGTGTCTTGGACGTTCCTGATGCCAGAGGCGAGCGTCTTGTAGTAGTTGAGGAGCTTAGAGTAGCCAGCGTGGGTCTTGGGCCAGACCTCCAAGACTTCGACAAGCGCGACAAAGTACCATCCCAGAGCGCGGTCCCATACGTAAGGGGAAGCACCTGTCTCGGGGTCTGCCCAGACAGTTGACTTGTCTTCGCTGTAGCCGTGGTAGAGAAGGTTGGTGGTTGAGTTGCGGCAGTGCTTCTCGATAAGGTCGAATTGCAGCTCAATGTCGTTCCACGCGGTGATGTTTTGAGGCTCAAAGTAGGATGTGTAGGTCGCATAAAAGGTATCGGCCATGTAGATACCGTCTAGCCACATCTGGTTTGCGTAGACAGGAGCACGATGCCAGAATCCTCCTTCGGGAGTACGAGGCCATCGGTTGAGCTGCTCACGAAGGCCCTTGGCCGCGATGACGTATTTGTTGTCTTTGCGGCCTTCAGAGTTCCAGAAGTAGAGCATGTTGTTTCCAATACGGATGTCGTCCAGAGTATAGAATGTCGAGTTCCAGCCCTTGAGGGTACCGTCGGCTGCGACGATGGAAGACACGGCGTTAGAGGCATATTTCAGGAGGGCGCGGTCGTTCTGTGTGGTTGCAGCCTTCTGGATGCCTTCGTGGATGACTGCGGCGACGTAGTGGTTGTCAATGTTCTGGCTCTTCGACAAGAAAGACGAAGCCATCCATGTAGACCATGGCTTGCTCAAATTGGTGCCAGCAGTCGTACTGCCACCCAAAAGCAAGGAGGTCAAAACTGGGAGATGCATGGTGGCGAGCCGGTATATCTTATTAGACAAAGATTATAGAATGGAGCCACGGATTTTGGTGAAGCAAGAGGGAAACCCGTGGGTACTGGGACTAGGTCCGAGCCATCATATCCTTATATACACCACCCATTGCTATCGTAGTAGTTGCTCCCTTTGCTTGAAATTCCGGCACTAGTGCAGCCATCATGAAATTAATCTATGCGGGTCCCGCTTAACGGGGCCAAGGTGAACGGACATCCCCATCACAGTTATTTGACCCCCAATGAGATAGGGGCACTCTCTAGCGCGACACTATGTATAGCTAGATAGGATAGATCTGTAACATTATACTCAATCTATCTAGCGCTGTAATTTAACCCTTCTCACCTCTCTCTATTCTTGTCCTTCTCTATCTCACACTACTCCCTACTCTCCTTCTTCTCTTTTCACTTCTTCTCTCTCTACTTCCATCTTGAAAATTGGAGGTAGAATAGAAAAAGTGCAAAGAAAAGGAAAGATGCAGTGTAGAGAGGAGATAAAGAGAGAGGCGAATCTTCTCATTTTTCTCTCTTTTGCCTTACTCATGTAAAATAAGATAGATATAGTTAGATCTTACACTAAGTATGGGAGGCCTGGTTTATGGGAGGGGGGGCCAAATAACTGTTATGGAGATGTCCGTTAACTTTTGCCGCTCAACGGTGGCACAGCTTCAATCCTTCTATCTGAATGGGCCACTGAAGAACCTGAACGTAGAGCTTTGTCCATGGTGGGCGGAGCCGGCAAGGGACGGGTGGGGGCTCGCCTCTTGGCAGCGGAGAAATTGGTGATTGGAAAAGTTTTTGTGGAGACTGCGGCCCGGAAACAACATTCTTTCGACCACCCGAGAGCCCAGAACGTGCTGACACAAGGTGTTGTTACCGCATTTGTATCGATGCATTGTAGGGATTGTGGCGTGAGAAAGTATTGATGGTGACTGTTGTAGGGTGCAGTTTGAAATCAGAAGAACGGTGCAGGAAGGGGTTAGTGAGAAAACAGCAAATTAATGCGCCTGCCACTAGTGTTATCAAGCTTACCAAGACCGAGGCCTTATTTCATGAACAGCCTTGACTTTGCCATAGTTCATCACAGCTACTACACGCTCGAGCCTTGCGCCCTGGCCAGTAATTTGAATGACCATATTCAAGGCTCCCCGATCTTTGGGTAATAAATGTGGTAATATATGAAGGCATTAGTACTCCGCAACCCAGCATACGCCTCTACTGTGTGAAACCGTCGGTGATATCTTCACCCCTCTAGTATGCATGCAGAAAATCCAATACTTACCACATGCTGACAGAACACCGGTGGCTATGCATGAGAATTTCAGAGATATTGAGATGAACAGGACGAGACAGCCAAGACGGGAGACGAGTCAGTGGCGCGCCGAGTAAACGCCTTCCGACGAGATGCCGTAAACCCGTTTCTAAATCTTCGTCTTTCAGGACAGCGTGCTGCTGGTTGGAGATGAAATGACAAACACGGAGAAGTAGTCTATGTGGTGAAGTGTGCAATAGTAAGCGTCAGGGACTCTCAAATGCCAAGGCGCTAGACCAAAAAGGCGGATACTCAGAAAGTATATCTTCACGTGTAGATTAGTACCCGTGGGGAGATCGAAACTTTATCTGAATAGCAACAAAAGTAACCAGGATATCCAGTCCTCAATACTGGAACTTGATAAACAACATCCATCATACTCCCCTCCAACACGCCAACCCGAAGCAACACTCCATGAAAGTAGCATCATGTACCGCTCACTGACCCAATTTGCTTACTCTTACTGACACACCCTACCAACCACTCCCCTCAGCCCAAAAAAAAACACTCCGAACACCCCTGTCCAATCATCTCCTACACCCCAATCCCTCTAGGCAGGCAAACTCGCACACCAAAACTCCGTCTTACACACCGTCGTCTCCTCACCCAAAATCCCCCCCACAAACCTAAACGTCGCCTCCCCATCCCTAAAGCACGCATATTCCTCTTTCCCTCCTGCTACCGCTCTAGTCTCTAACGTCGCATACCCCGCAAGTTCGCTCTTGGGAAGCGCATCCGCGCCTCGCTCGATTCTGCTCTCGAACACGCCGGCGCCATCGAGCGTAACGCGGCGCGTGAAGCCTGCCCATTGGATGGCGCGGGCGGAGGCGACGGTGCCGATGGCGGTGGGGTTGGTGGTGGAGGGGGTGCCGGCGTAGAGGATTGCGGAGGAGGAGGTCTCGTCTGTGAGGATGGAGCGCGTGGTGCAGGTTGTGAGGAAGATATTGTTTTTTGAGCTGAAGAGGGTGGGGTTGGGAAGGGGGATGCTGAGGGCTAGGGTTGCGTAGGATAGAGTGAGCAGACCACTCTGCGGAGAGAAGAGGCGCATTTTGGCTGTTGGTGGTGTGGTTTGGAGACTGGGTTGTCTTGCTATGGGTGTCCTCTCTTCGAGTCGACTGGGGTGTAGTAATAAATGATACTTTTCACTTGATTGTTGATGCTCAGTGCTCCTGTAGAATTCTCACGATACAACTACAAACCGGAAAACAAGTCTTATTTCAACTTCCTCCTACCTTCAGCTCCCAATCTCTCCCTCTCCTGATTCACCCCCCCCCCCNCCTAATCCACCCTCCCAAAATTAGCAACATACCCGCATGTACCTTATTCGTCTATCCCAAATAGCCTACAAACTTACATCCGATACTCGTATGTTGAGAAAACCCGGAAAGTGACAGGCTGCATTGGGGGCCTTTGCCGTATACATATAGCCAGATGGGTATTGCATAGAACACGATGGAAGGTGCATATACAGCCTTTTATGTACCCAGTAATGTGGTACGGATGTTGTTCGTAGAACATCCGATATCTCGGTAAGCTTATATTAAGCTTATATTAAGATCTTACACCAATATGTATATTGTGCTCCGGCCAGGGGTATTTCAGCCGGCGGCTCGAATCCAGGCTTGAGAACATTGACGCCTGTTATAGCCACATTGGCTGCAGGTGATTGCAGTCTAGAAGTTATTCGTTCCTAGGGAAACAGCAGGAGAATGGTGACAGGAAGGACTTGGATGAAACGCGATGGTATTTTGGAAAAGGATTACTATAGAAACACAACACAATGACCTCAGTTTAGCAAGCCGGCAGCAAGCGCCTCCATATCCTCCAACGTCTCGAGCTCCTCGACTCTGTGCGCGGCCTTTGCCTTCTTCCTCTTCTTTGCGACCTTTTCTTCGTCCTCAGAGTCAGACTGGAACCACTTCTTCTGCTTCTTGGGTGGCTCCTCTTGTCGTTCCTCCTCTGACATGTCCTTATCGTCATCACTATACTCTGCATCTGCCCTAAAGTTTGCCAAGAGGTCTTCGCCGGGATCTGGAAGTACCACGCCTGCATCGCTTGCATCGTCGTCAGCATTAGCCATCTCAGCTCTTTCCCTCTCTTTGCGTTTCCGCAACTTTTCTTTCCTCTTTGCCTTGGCGGTAGCTTTGTCTTCGATATCGGCATTTTGAACTTCTTCACGTGCGGCTTCGATGAACTTCTGTCGTTGCTCTTCTGGCAAACCTTTGGCGCGGAATTGCTCTTCGTCTTCGAGTTCGTAAACTTCGTGTGGGTTTCCTTCATCGTCGTAGACGAGCTTCTTGCCTTTGTCCATGAGCTTGGTAAGCTTCTTCTTGGATTGAAGAAGTTTCTCTCGGCGATGGCTGTCAATAACAATGGGTTGCGATGCGCCAGCAATGTGGACAACACGACCGCCCACAGGAAGCATGGGGTCCTGGTCGGTATTGAGGTCCTCGGGTTCGTCATCTGCTGGAATCCGTCGTTTAACAGCCATGAAATCGTCGTCTCCGTTGGTCGCCGCTCCAGCCCCACTAAACTCGTCTGCCTGCGCCTCCTCGTCTTCGTTCCTAACAAGTTTCTGGTAATGCTCTGCAAGAACATCCTGGTTCTTGCGCTCGAACATGCGATCGTACTTAGTCCGCACAGGCTTGTCTGTCTTCGTGACTTCTTCAGCATCTGATGAATCAGAGATTTCAATAGTCTGCCTCGATGCCTGTTTCTTCTGCTTGCTGTCGTCGTCCTTCAAGAACTTGATCCTTGGTGTTCCTGGGAGACCCAGACTTGCCGCGTATGCTTCGAGATTATATTCCTTCAGCTTGAAGACCTCCTTATCCTTTTGTAGATAGATAGATTTGACATGTGTCATGAAGGCCTTTTGTCCCAGATACTTCAAGGCAGGGTCCTGGAAGCACATGTTCTGCAGCTGATCCTTGATTGACTGGCGCTTCTTTTGTCGCACATTGATCATCTCGATGGGCACTTTCTTGGCTTCCAGACGCTTCAGCATGCCCTCTTCTTCACTGGGTGCTAGGAAAAGCACACCACGTCCTTCTCGGTTGTATCGTGCCGTTCGACCGACTCGGTGAATATACGTGTCGACATCATCAGGGCAGTCGACCTGAATGACGAAGTCGACAGCAGGGAAATCCAGACCTCGAGCAGCAACGTCGGTTGCAAAGAGACACGAGTGTTTGGCTGAGGAAAACTTGGCAGTTGTGTCTAATCGAGCACCTTGCTTCTGGCGACCATGGATGTGCAACAGTGGGATACCGGGCTGCATATGACGAAAGGACTCGTAGACAAATCGAACAGTCTTGGCAGACGAGAAGAAGCAAAGGATCTTGGACTTCTTGCTCGCCTGAATGAAACTCCACAGAGTGTCCAGCTTCTCCTCCAGAGGGCAAATAATGTAGTTTTGCGTGAGTCCCTTCGGCGTTGCGCTCTTGTCCTCGGCATGAACTGATACGTACTCGGGGTCCTGGAGACTCAAACGTGCAAGGTCCGACACCTTCTTAGACTGAGTAGCGGAGAAGAGCAGTGTTTGCCTCTCCTTTGGCAGATACTCGATGATTGCATCCACATCCCGCTGAAAACCCATATCAAGAATCCTATCCGCTTCATCCAGCACCAGCATCTTGAGATCGTCAACGTTGAAGGCGGCTGTCTGCGACAGATGCTGCAGCATTCTTCCTGGTGTTGCGACAAGTATGTTCATTTTAGTTAGAGCCTCCCTCTCAGCTTGCAAACTCTTGCCTCCAATAAGAAGACCTGCAGCAAACATATGGCCATGTCTTCCAATCTTGCGCAGGACATCGAAAATCTGGATGGCAAGTTCTCGGGTCGGGGACAGAATCAAAGCGCCCAGGCCTGCGTCTGGCCCAACGTGTTGCAGCCGGTAGAGGTTCTCCAGAACGGGGATGATAAAGGAAAGTGTCTTTCCGCTTCCCGTCTTCGCAGCGCCGAGTATGTCGTGGCCCTTGAGCGCAAGCGGAATCGCCTTGGCCTGGATGTCGGTCATAACGGCAAAGTGTGCAGACTTGAGGCCTTGTTTGGTCGGGTCGGAGAGCGGCAGGTCGGTGAAGTCTTTGTGGGAGCTTTGCTTGGGGTCCTGTGTCTACAGTCAGTCTCATGCGCCCTGTCAAATTGCGATGTTTTCGCAAGCCTACCAGGTCCTGAACTGCCTGCTCCAGCTTCTCCACATCTACATCGTCGCGCTTCCGTTTCTGGACATTCTCACGCTTCTTGACCTTTGTAGGCCTTGCGCGACCGGTAATTTCTGGTGCAGCCATTCTGGCGCTGGACACTTTCCTCGGGCAATTTGGAGTTGAGGCTTTCGCGTCGCATCTCAAGAGAACTTTTTGGTGGAGAACTTTAGATGGTCTGTGCGCTTCGCCGCGGGGATTGCTATGGCTGGCCATCACCGCTGCGATGCTTACCTTCACCTTTCATCTTCCTCCAAGGAAGACCAAGCATAGCGCCGATAATCGTGCCTACACTTGATACCCTCACTAACACTCACTCTGACGGACTGAAGCTGTCTGAAACATATCCATTCTACGTGCAATCTACCTCACGTCAACATGGCGGACATCGATGCTGAGCTCGCAGGCATCGGCAAGGAGCTCGACAAGGACGCAGAGATTGATCGCATCCGTAGCGTCTTCAGCCTCGATGCCTACGCCGTCCTAGACCTCCAACCCGGTGTCCCCGAATCCGACATTAAAAAAGTCTACCGCGCAAAGTCCCTCCTCATCCATCCGGACAAGACGAAGAACGAGCTCGCCCCCGACGCCTTCGACCGCCTCAAGAAAGCCCAGACGGTGCTGCTCGACGAGAAGCTGCGCGCAGAGCTCGATGAAAACATTGCCGATGCGCGTATGCTGCTCATGCGCGAGAAGAAGCTCACAGCCGACGACGAGGAAACACGCAGTGAAGAGTTTGCCAAGGAGTGGCGGCAGAAAACTATCTGGGTGATACGGGAGAATGAGTTAAGGAAGCAGAGGCAGATGAAGGCAGCGATGCGCGAGGAGGGCAGGGCACAGCGCAAAGAGGAAGAAGAGGCCAAGGAGCGCAAGCGCAAGAGAGAGCAAGACGAGGCATGGGAGAAGACACGCGACACAAGAATCAACAGTTGGCGCGACTTTCAGCAGGGCAAAAAACCAGATGCTGCTGCTGATGGTGGTGTAAAGAAGAAGAAAAAGAAGGTCAAGGCCTTAGGTTAAGCTTATCGCCAACCTTACCGTAGACCCGGAAATTTCTTCACAATACCCTACCACTTGCCGCAAGAGAAGACCAGAAATCACACATGGCCAATTGTCTCTAAAAAAAGACCCGCCATATCTTCTGCGCTCTCTCCTTTCAAGGCACACCAAAGCTACTCATGTCTCTTCTCGATACCCAATGTACTTAGTTTATTATTTCCCCCTCCCACCAACCCCCCTACTTATATCCCTTGCATACAAATACATACATACATAAACTAGTACCCCATCGCGTCCCCACACTCACAACATGTATCTCCGAACCCATCTCTTACACACATACAACCCAACTGCAAACGCCCAACCTAACCATAACCCAATCACATCCTTAATCATCCTAAAAAACCAACCGGACTCTCATCCGCTCCTCTGCCTAGCTCGGCGACTCCCCTCCGTAGCCAGTAGCGCAACTTTACCCACCATTCCCCCCCAGCCCGAGTTCCCTTCGTCATGTTCCCGCCGATCCCGCCCTTTAGAGTTTGTGAACACCCAAGGTTTGAAGCTAAGGGGGGGTTTGACTTAAGCGCGGTTTTAGAGCATGCATAGGTCGGACGTCAGGTCATCAATTTTTTTTCTTGAAAATCGTATAGGAGGAGGGGTGGGGGGGGGGTGCGCGGAGAAAGGATAAGTGCTGTTTTGCATATCTTTTGCCCTTCCTTTCGCCCGTTTTTTTTGTTTGGTTTATCCGATAGCCGCGGTGGGAAAGCTTAGACTAAATTAGTGGTTGAGCGAGATGAGTAACTATCAGTAACCTAAAGGGGGCGCAGTGAAATGTGTTTAGTAATGTATGAGTAAAAGGGTTGTATAATGTCATGGAACTTATTTTTTCGTTAAAAATAATGCAATACAAGTATTTCATGTAGCTAGCTCTACGTCTGTATGACATGTTGTCGACCCCATAAACCTTAAAATCCCATCATAAACGAACCAAGAAAAAGATAGCTTATCCGAAGATTTGCGGCAAAAAATCAGGAGAGAAAAATGGTAAAAAAAGGGTATATCCTCCTTTCGTAACCTGCTTAGTCTCAAAATGATAAAAAAAAGAGCCTAGCAGCCCCAAGCCCGCCTCAGTCGTACGATGTCCGTGGCAAATGCGCGCCCCCTTCATATTGTATCCACACAAACGGTGTGAACAAAAGTGAAATGCTTAAGTAATAGTTTTGTTTTTGGTTGGAAATCGGCTCGCCCCGAGCTGACCCGAGCTCAGGGGGGCGTGAAGAAGAGAAGAAGAAGTGAGAGGAGGAGAGAGAAAAAATAGGAGTTCGTGGTATCTTTAAGGTAAAAATGGTTTGTTGCAAGCTCAACAAAATGGGACATGATGGACAATTAAGGAAATAAAAAAAGCGATAGGCAAGAGAAAACAAGAGAGGAAAAAAAAGATGCCGAGGCAAGAAAGAACATGGTGAAGAAAGACGCCGGAATCATGCGGAGATCGTACTAAGTTGCCAAAATGCAAAAAGGTAAGGAAAAAGAAGAACAGAATGAAAAAAGAAACAGAACCTAGAGTGAAGTAGAAGAAAAAACACAACGAGTTGAATCATTCCCCGTTTCCATCATATGCATGCATTCCACCGTTTTCTGGAAGACAGACGTAAAAAAGACAGTTCAAAGGAGAAGAAAACCCGACCAGCAGGTAAATCAACCCTTGATATCCCTGTGAACGCTTTCCCAACCCCCTCTTTACTTATTCCAGCATTTGTTGAATATCGAATCGCCTCCGCTTCACTGTCTCAGGAGACTCAAGTCTTCGCTGCTCGGCACCACTCGCCAGCGACTCTAGTGGTCTAGCACGCTCATGTTCTGCTGCCGCTGCAGCACCCGTGCTCATTGCTTCAATATGCAGTGGTGAGCCGAGGGGCGAGGGTGCTGTTCGAATGGGCGGAAGGTGTAGGCCCTCGAGACGTGCGGGGCGGTTCAGTTCGCGGAAGGGTTGCTGCGAAGACGACGTGGGCGGTCGAGTGGTGGATCCGTAGGGCGAAGGGTATGTGTTTGTGCTGGGTTGGGTGGGAGGCTGGTAGGTAGGCAAGTATCCAGTGTCTGCACCTGCGCCTGCGGTAGGCGAGTAGCCGTAAGATGGACTACTGCTGTAGGAGCCGGGGCTTATCATAGGCAAGGACGTTCGGACAGCCGAGAGATTGTAGTACGGTGAGCTCGGCCCGGAGCTGGTTGAAGATGGTCGACGGGACTGGTGTGGCGTGAGGTATGATATCGGTGCGTTGTTTAGCGCAGATGTTGTCTGGGGTGCGTTGTTTGGTGTAGGAGGAGCAAGCTGCTGGGTGAGTAGGTTTGGGGCTGCGAGCCTTGGTGGTGATATCACAACCAGCGTCACAAAGTATAGTGAGATCTTCGCAAGCCTGATTTGGACTTGCAGCGACTGATATGGCTCTGCACCTGGAGCACGGAAGCTGAGGTAGATGGACCTGTTGGTGGAGCCCTGAGTGAAGTGGTCAATCTCTTGATCTGAGACAGCGTCCATTACTGATCGCATGGGATCCTGTCCCACAGGAGTGATGGGTGCCATGTAAGCCGGCTCACGTTCGTCGCGCTCATCGCGTAGTTCGTTACGCAATCGCTGGAGACTTTCGTTTTGCCTGGGCTCCAGCAGATCGCCAAGATGCTTACCCTGGACGTCTCCCAAAAAGGATACCAATTCCGCAAAGGCATGATTTGTTTTTTGTATCATCAGGTCCAAGCTCAGGTATGCAACTGGAAGACTGTGGTATACCGGGCTTGCTCCCGTGCTATAGGGCAGAGGCAGTGGGGCAGCGACTGGGTCTCTCGTCGTAGATACCGGTAAGGGAAGGCTGGCGTTTGGGAGATCTCGCTGATGGGCAGTGCCCCCAAACATGCGCTGGGAATCAGGGGCTCGGGGTAGAAGAGACCCTGGGTATGTCGAATGGTGAACAGGGGTTTCAACAGGTGGAGCACCCAACAGTTGGCTGGTCGGTCTACCTTCTTCCATTCTTGCGAATTCTCTGTCGTCCCTGAGTCGCGGCCGCCCTCTCTTCTTGTGTTGCACATCCTTGCATGTCTCCTATTTTCCGGAATCAGCATCGTCAGGAACAGACTTACAGGTCTAATGACTTTACAAGGGCAACTAACCTGTTTACCAGAAGCCACACAGCGACCACAAGGGCGCTGAACGTCACAGCTGAGATGTGCCTTCTTGCAATTGACACAGGCTGACGCCACATGTGCTTTGGTTCTTCTGGCTGGCTTGGCTGGCCTGGCTGGTGGTGGTGCAATCATCGCAGTTGGCTGAACCATAGGCCCTTGGTGTTGCACTCCAGCATAAGGTGGCAAAGGGGTATTCTGGTAGCCATATCCATAGGGTTGGAGAATAGAATGTCCATAAGGCTGATGTTGGAGCGGACGTCCAGTTTGGTAAGAGAGAGCCTGGTCCCTGGGCTGGGATTCCCCAGGGTATAGTGGTCGCTGCGGAGGGAGAACGTGTGTTGCCATTGATGAACGTGGATCGTATATTGAGGGTGGCGCAGGAGGTTGAACAAAGCTATCCTGTCGTTGAGACGATCCTACAGGCTGGGAATAAGATAGGCGTGCGGATTCAACAGACTGTGCTGGTCGACGAGCTGGGGATTGAGGTTCTGACATGGGCGGGGATGGGTAATCCTGATGCGCAGACCTGTGAGGGCTGAATTTCGCCCGTAATTTGGACAGGCCGTCTTCAGCTTCCGCCGGCCGCCCAAATGGCGTAGAAAGGAGTGAGGTCGGACCAGGTAGAACCAGGCTCTGCATAGTTTTACCGCTATGCGCTCAAACGCCGCGTCAGCAGCGGGAGCTCAACGGTGTGTGTGGAGGTACAGATGGGCCAGAAAACTGCGCAGGTTTGGACACCGCGCTTCAGTTTTGCTACCCAAGAAGCAAAAGCACGGTAAAGTTGACCAGGAAAGTCGAAGACAGTCTAGATGGTAAAGAAGGTAAGTTGATGCAGAACATGAAAGGAGGGAGGTGAGGATGATGACGAAGAAGGGTAGGGATCAACTACGTAAGGCTAAACAAGCGGCGAATGTACAACTGGGTACGTACGTACGGCCCTCGATGCCGAAAAGGCGGCATGCCGTAAGCCAGCCTAGCAACAAGAAGATCAAAGCAATGGAATCAGGAAGGAGAAGCGGGCTCTTGAAATTACCTTTTGTGACAGCAGTGTCGTGTAGGCCTGAATCGGCACAGAGTAGTAAGTTGGGATAGATAGTCGTAGGGAAGCAAAAGACGGCGGGGCCAGTGTTGGTGTTAGGTCTACTGGAGCTAACAGGGTAATGGGACGAGGAAGAGGAGAGGGGAGGCGATGGTATTGACTCAGTGTGGAGCCAATGGGGAATTTGGGATGGCAAATCGTAAAAACATCAGAGCAGTCGTCTGCCCACTCGGCGGAAATTCCCCAGTAATAACCACAATCAGTTATGGGGAATTCTTGCTCACAGATCTTTACCAATCCCTGTCAAGTCGTGCATGAGGGGCCTCCCAAGAGACGGGGGCCACGCTGAGTTCCGGGCAACGGGAGCAGGGGAGGATGCGTCTCGGGGACGACGACATGCTTCCCTCGTTCGGCTGATGGTTCTTCGACATTTTTGCTAGTCTGGGTGTCCCAGACGGCCGATGCACCCGCGGAAGCACCTATGCACGGCCATTAGTTGGTAGTGGGTGCATGGGCAAAGCGGGTTGAGGAGCCTTGTCAGAGGCCGCTCGATCCCCCTGCTTTCCGCACCGTCTGAGAGCCGGGGTGTGCTAACGGGATATGGCTCGCGCTTCTACACGCCATTGCACCATTGTTTTGCGGCCGCCCAGGCAAACTTTCAGTTGAAGCATGGCACAGGTCGAGGGGGGCCCTTGATGCGCGGCGTGCGCTTATGTGCGACCCAGTAATTGCCTTTGCTGGCTCGATTAGGCATATCCAGAGGCCGAAAACGTTCGGCCTAGACAAGCATCAGGAACGGCAAAGGATCCAAGTCATTTCAGCCAGACGATCACGGGGTTTCAGGAGCCATGGGGTTAGCACTGCGAGCGCAAGTGCAAGCTCCATGGAGGGACATTTGTGGCTCTCGATGACAGGCCCGCGGCGGTGGTGCACTACTGCTATGGCGACGCTTGTCACTGTCAGTCGCGTGTCAGGACCCCTTCAGACCAACCACCACATGGATCGCCTCGCTCGCCTCGCTCGCCTCTTCGCACCGACCGACGGTCGCAGCGGAAGTCCTCGCCTCGCGGCGGCTACTCTGCATTGATTGCCGGGGAAAGCTTGCTCAGGGTCCCTAGCAGTGGGACGTACGATATCAAAGTACAAGTTGCGATAACAATCATTACCGCACTACTATGCTCTGAGCATGATGACGCACATGCCTGGCGTCAACTCTATCACAGCCCATACAGGTTGGAAACACGACCACTGCTATGATCGACGTCTCCGTGTGGATATGGCTGAGGCAGGGCGACGCCTTTTTGTATGGAAATTTCCGTCGTCACATCGAGCGAGGTCCGACTTGCCCGCAAAAGCAATCCATTCGTCATTAGGTTCTCAGCCTACGGCGACGTCCCTTCCTGCGGCAAGTCTGAACTCTTGTCGCATCTTGTGGGGCACGTAGCTTTGTCATGCGACACGCCATGCCCACCTAGCTGCATGGCGCCGGCGCTGTAAGCTTATGTATATGGTGCGGGTGATAGATCTGGCAGATGCAGTGTGCTCTGGGACAGCACGCGCGAGCAACAGTAAGCTGCATCCGACGACATACTACTATGTATCTGCCCCCCTCGTACTTGGTGCCAGAAAAGCTTCTGCACAGCTGGGCATTGAGGCGGCCCTGTGTGGAATGTTGTGTGCACCTTGGCCAGTGACGGGTGCATAAGACGTCAAACAACGGACTCATTTACGCTTCAGGCGACCCTCTCATGCACGCTGCAAAATCTAACACTGAACAGTCTTCAGTCCCAACCACCCCAGAATCACGCGCTAGGGGTGGCGTCCAATGCTCTTATGAAGCGACACATAGTGCCATGGGCAAAATGCGGTACAGGCATATCATATGTCCCATTATAGGCTTTGTGTTGCATGGGCATGGCACTGGGCACACAAAAAAACTCCGGTGGGTGAATCGATCGAAAGTTGGCGCCCGGTCGAAGATCTGCCTGCAAACTGCCCGAGCCAGGACAGACGGCATTACGGGCAGCATGGCTTGTCGTGCTGGCGTGTGCGCAGTAGTAGCAGCATTGATGATGCGGGGCCGACGCCTAGGTCGAGGGCACGACGAACATTGCAGATGAGAGACGTCCTCGGCATGTGAGGGCCTCGTGTTTATTTTTTTTCTCCCTTCTCGACGGGAATGAGAAACAGCGAACGGAGCGCTTCGCTGCTGCCGATGCCACACAAAGAGAGAGAAAGGCAAAAAGAGTGGCAGCAGGAGCATTAGCGGCCACCTCGCTTGTCGACCGCGGCGACGCATTCAGAAGGTAGAACGGCGAGTGCGGCAGGGCAAAGATTCCGCGCTGCAGTCCACAGTGGATGGGTGGATAGACTTGCTGACCCGTGGGACTCGACCTCGACACGGAGCTGCGGTTAGCTGAGCCGAGAGCCGTGAAGATCGGTGCCGTGGCTGGGATCTATACCACAGCACTATCCCTGGATGAGCTTATCCATGAGCAACCAACACATGTACTTGGACACACTTTACTTCCAGCATCCATCATAAACTATGGCCATGACAAATTGCGGATTGCCCTTGTCGCTACCCCAACACAAGCTGCAGTGGTAGGGCACGGCACATGTACATACTCGCTTGAACAAGGGCAGAGCCAGCGCCCCCCAGCATGTCGGCGGCCATGGCTTGGAAACGTCCCCTCTGCACATCTTCACCCTGCTCTTAGCGGAATGAGCCGAGATCCAAAACGCAGGGAGTATGAGTCAGGTCTGCAGGAGCGTTTCCTCGTCGCTCGTCGGGGGGAGGGGGGGATGGCACCATCGCTCGACTAGGGTATTTTTTTTTTACGGCCGAAAAGCGCATGCTTGTTTTGGGGATAAAACCTGGCAAAGGCCGCCAAGCGTGTGATTGGTGCTGCAACCCCACCTGCGGAAAATATAACACCCAGCCCAAGAAACCAACGCGATGGCCCTGAAGCTAGGCCGTCTATTTAGCCTTGTTCGCCCATGATTGAGATCCAAAAATAATCTTAGATAGTGGAAGTGTTGTCGTTGGGAGCAGGCCCTATATCGCCTATATAGATTGCTTTCACTTCTGAGTACCATTCGCCGGAGCTACGGCATCCACATAACGGCCTGTCCAATGTCCCGGGACTGCTCGTCCTGCGGTGGCGGGCCCAGCCGCTGTGTTTGTGCAGTGACGATGATTGTTGAGAGCTCCGTCCGCACGTTTCGCTGTTGCAACTAGTCGTCTTGCAACTGCGTATACGGCCCTCTACCCGCTTTGCCATGCCCCCCAAATCTCGTGTTCGTACGGGCTCCGTATGGTGACAGGTTGGCGTCAGTCGCATGGCGACGCCCCAAATATTGCGACAGAGTTGCGGGCGGGATCTACGAACCGGTGCTCAGGACACGTTGTGCCAAAGTAGCCTCTGCCAGGGGCCCTCGCCCGCCATGCTGTCCGTTCCCTCCTGGGGGCCCTTGCAGCCTCGCCCTCCCTTGCACCTGGGCGCGGGACCACTGTCGATTTGCGACTGGGTGCGGGCCGAGTTGGTCCAGTGCTGGCCTCGGTGCGTCGATATCTTGTGTAATGCGTCTACTATGCTCAAAGTTGATGGTCGCGTGGGTCCTGTGTAAGGATACGAGCCTGTGTAGTTGGACATGCTCACACAGCATGTGCGGCTCATAGCTTTGCCCCCAAGGCGCCCTGCAGCCAGCTCCTTACAATGCGTGTCTATGACAGGCAAACCCTGCAGACATCCGCTGCTGACACCCCCCTTCGAGTCGACTCGTCAGGCCCGCAGCGGAGCGAGAAATTTCCGGTAATATGCTATATCAACAACCAAGCAGCCGTTTACCGAGATATGGAATGTGACTACGCTTGCAGCCACCCGACTAGAGCGGCAGTCTAGACTGCGCCGCCGTAAGAGAACCACGCCGCAGCCGTTGACCTGCGTGCCGGCGTCTGGTGCGCGTGTTTGGTTTTGATTGAAAAGCGTCGAGCGTATTGCTGCGAAATTGGCCGACGGATTGGGGACATGTTGAATATCAAAAAGCCGTTGAAGTACGGGGAGGCGTAGGAGGATTGTTGGTCGGCATCGCGTACTTCCAAAACCCCGAGGCCGAAGCCACGGCTCTCAGGCCACCCACACAGCGTCTAAGTGCAGTCAGCCAGCCGTAGCACTTGGTTGCAACCAAGGGAGAAGACAAAAAAGCAATGGCAGCAGTAGTAGTAGCAGTAGCACAGTAGCAGTAACAGTACACCTAGTAGCAACAGCTGCAGCGTCAGCAATAACAAATGTGGCGGCTTCTGGAAGAACGTCGGGTGAGCTGCCGCAGCGCGGATGCAGGAGGATTCCAAGGCTATTGAGGTCTGGCGGCGTTTGCCCAGAATAGGGAATGGTGGTGTGCACCCTTGAGTTTCGTTGAGTGGAGAAGAAATATGTCGGCTGAAAGAAATCTCCTCGATGGTGGGATGACGTGCCTGCATTGCCATGTGCACCCGATGTGGATGCGGCCCCCCTCCCCTGGAAGCCCTGTCCCTGCTTCGGACCTTATTGAGGGTGGTGAGCTTGCAGGCAAGCCTTGACCCTAGGCGCCGAGTACATGCAATGGTGCAGGCGCCTGTCACTGTCATTTGCCTAGCGGATGTTTTGCACCTATAGCCCTTGCTCGGTAGAGTATGGAGTAGACCTACATGAATACGTGCATACATACCACATGTAGATATCGTCCGTTTGCGTCTTAATGGCCTGCACCCACAAACTTAGCACCCCCAAACCCCAAACACAAAAGTACTCAAGGGGGTCCACGTCGCTGCAAATCGAGCCACGACTTGTTTTTGCAACCTTTATTTCTCGTCGACCACCGCGATGTGCGCAGGTAAAAAAAAAAGCCACTATTGAGTCCAATGTGCTTTGGCCCAGAGGGGCTTGGTGCTTGCCCACAACTCTGTTCCAGTACCCGATTAAGTTTCGCCAATCCGCACCCAGGTGGCACAGCAAAGCAACGACAGCCTCTGCGAATAAAAGCAACCATGACCTGACCTTGCCCATTACAACGGTCCTTTCTCGCACAATTAGCCCCTCTGGCCAATGGTGCAGCCACCTTCTTTGTTTTGCCTCGCCACAGCGCCGGCCGACAAATCACATCCGATACTGAGCACCTCGGCCCGCGACCACGGTGGATCTTCATCATGTTACACAGCAGCGTCGCTGACACGTGCCAACTCAAACCTCATCATTGTCGATTCATGCGTCCAGGCATAAGGCCCGTGTATTGATTCAACCATCTCAATGTTTCCGCTTTTTCGACGGCCGCGCATTCTTTTCTCGCCGTTTCTCCTGGATTTTGCGGTTCTTGCGCACTGTATCCACATCCCGAAGCTCACTCTTGCCCTTTCCGTCCTTGAAGGCACCAATGCGCTTCTCCTGTGCTTCAGCCACCCGCTTCTTCTGCACATGATAATCATCGCGGTATCGGTCAGCTTGCTTCGGTGCCTTTTCCGATTTGTGCTTGTACCGAGGTGCGTTGTTGAAAGATGCTGCTGGGCGGTTGGCGGATTCCATCTCGCCCACCCTCGGCATCTTGACCTTGTTTGCTTTGCGCCAGTCATCAAAACGACCGCTGCGGAAACTCGCCGCAATTTTTTGTCCACTCTCCCCGCGGATCATCTTGGCTCCCTTGGACCCGTCGTCGTCGTTGGTGCGGTTGACATACTTCTTGGACTTTTTGTCCCACCGCATCTTGGACTTGACCGCGTCTGCGAAACCTTGAATCTCGTCGTTGACCAGTGACATCTCTGCCGCTCTTGCTGCAGACACAAAGTTGGTGTTGCCAGCATCTCCACCGCTAACTCCATATGCCTTTTCTTCGGCCAAGTTCTCCTTGGGAGTATACGACATGAAGTAGTCGTCGTTCCTCCAGCTGTCTTGCTTAGACTTCTTCGAGGCCGGCTGTGACACTGACACTTCAAGCTCGTCAGAGTCAGAATCATAGACACCCTCTGCAACCTCGACTTCATCTTCCGAGGACATGTCCTCGTCATTTGCTTCTCTTGAAGAAGCATGAATAGTGTCCAGCTCATCTTCACCCTTTTTGTTAGCCGCCTGTTTAGCTTTCTGACGCTCAACCTGCTCTCTTCTTTTGCGCATAATCTCAGCTGTTTCGCTATGGATCCCGCGTTTCCCAATTTCAAACACTGTTTCCGCGGGACGGAATGACTGGATCCTCGCGAGCATGTCTTCTTTCTCTCTTTGAGCGGTGTGTGCATCATTGCTAAAAAGCATGTGCGTTTCAGCAAAATTAGGAGACGCTGCTAACTCTTTGGCGCGCACTACACTCTGTGCGCTTGCCTGGTTACGTGTGCGTTGGTACTGTCGCTCACCCTTTTCAGCAACACTTAGCAGAAGCGCCAAGTCTTCGTCCTCGCTGAGTTGTCTGTTGACTTGCTCCACAGAGCTCTCTACCTGCCACGGCGACAAGCTCCCAACAACAAAATCATCTGCGTAGTTTGGCTCGTCACTCGACCGCCCCATAAGCAGGCGCTTGCCTAGAAAGAGCTGCAGATCTATGAGGTAGGGTAGGTCGACGTTTCTGCATAGACTGTATGCCCAACCTTTTCTTCCCGCACGTGCTGTTCGTCCGACCCGATGGACAAAAATCTTGGGTTGTGACGGAAAGTCATAATTTATGACATGGTTGATGTGAGGCATGTCAACACCACGAGCAGCAACGTCTGTGACGATAAGGATACGGGTCAACCCAGTTCGGAAGTCTTGAATTTGCTCTTTTCGAGCAGTTTGATCGAGATTACCGTACACTGTAGAAAATTAGTATAAATCAATACAGGACACATCATCTCACTCACCATAAGATATGGCATATCCCAGATTTCGAAGAAGGTTGGCCAGATACTCTACCCTGTGTTTCGTTGCAGCAAAGATAATGGTAGACTCTGCAACAGGAAGGTCCTTGACGAAGCCTTCACTACGCTTCCGCTTCTTGCTGGGCTTCTCGCTCTCTTCTCGGGCCTTCTTTGCGGCATCAGTCTCACCTACGGGAACTTTGATGACATTGTCCAGAAGGTACAGCAGAGCTCCATCTCGATCGCCCGACTTGATGGTAAAGTAAGCACTCTTGAGATCTGGCGAGATCTTGCTTTCCGCATCCAGACGTATCAACTTGGGCTCTTGTAAGCCCGCTCGGGCAAACTCCACGAGTGACTTTGGCAGTGTGGCACTGAACAAGAGTGTCTGCCTCGAGGCGGGGAGGGCGTAAAGAATTTCCGAAAGTTGGGCAGCAAAACCCATTTCGAACAACCGATCGGCTTCGTCGAAAACAATGTACTTGACCGAGGAGAGGTCAAGGCCCATCTCAACCTTGAGATGCAGGAAACGTCCCGGAGTGGCAATGATGATATCGGGGTTTGTGGTCATTGAGCTAAATTCTGCAGAATTGTTAGCATGCATCGCAATGGCTCAGTGATTGTGTATACGTACGTTCTTCAAGACTGTCACCACCAACGAGCAAGATGGTTCGCAAATCGGTACCACGACCCAGCTCCTTGACTACCTTGAGTGTTTGCAATGCAAGTTCGCGAGAGGGCGACATGATAATTCCACGCGCGCCCACTTTTGCGGAGTGCGCCTTGAGCTTCTGGATCATAGGTATAACGAAAGCGGCCGTCTTTCCGGAACCGGTTCTGGCCATTCCCACCACATCCTCGCCTTGAAGCATAAGTGGCACTGCCTTGCGCTGAATCGGAGTCGGGACCTTGAAGCCCTTTTGTGTGATAGCTTTCAGAAGCGCCGCATTTAGGCCCATGGCTTGGAAGCCTCCACCCTTCTTGACCGACTTGCCTACGTTCGAGGCTTTGCGATTTGAAGCGGCCTGTTTCGCAGCGATGAAGGCCTCATCGTCGGATCCATCGTCACTGCCAACGTCAAGATCCAAGCCCAGATCTGCGTTCAGGTCCGTCTCTTGCGGAATGTCATCGCCGCCGGCTAGAGCATCAAAAATGTCGAACTCGGTTTCGGAGAGCGCCGGCGAGCTCGCGCGGCGGGCCATGTTGGGCTGCTCAACTATAGGGTTCCGGGAGGACGGAGGTGAACTTTTGCTCTGCTTGATGCTAGAAAGTTGCGCGTAGAGTCGCTCTTGGGAAAATTTCGAGCACGGACCTTCCGAAATCTTGGCGGCAGGGATGCTGTTGGAATAGCGTCCACGTGCCCCGCGATGAGGCAGGCGCGTCCGACGCGTTTTGCCTCGAGTAGATTTGTTGTACACGGCGTCTCTCAACTGCAGTCAACAGGATGAGTAAGTTTTCCATGTTCCAATACTCCTAAGCATTCAGGCTTACCATATCAGACTACAACAACTACGAAACCTCGTACACGTCCTATGGCGCTGGCGGCGGTGGTGGCGGAGGCGGCTTCATACCAGGAGAAGGCGGCAGCACACAGAGTCCCGGTGGCCGGCAAAACCAAATCCAGGACTCGATACGCCCTGTTACGATCAAGCAGATACTAGACGCTCAAGGAGAGGCAGGGAGCAACGACACCTTCAAAATTGACGGCACAGTAATCAGCCAGGTACACGACAGCCCCACGTTGGATATATATGCTTGCGCTAACTTGTAGTCAGCTCACACTTGTCGGCCAAATACGCAACATATCTAACCAGACCACAAACACCACATATCGCCTCGATGACGGCACCGGTAGCATAGAGGTCAAGCAATGGGTCAATCCCGAGACAGTAGACCACAGCAGCCTTGCCAAGGCTAAGCTCGTCGAAGGCGCATACTGCAGGGCATGGGGTAAGCTAAGGAGCTTCAATGACCGCAAATCGGTCGGAGCGACAATCATTCGCCCAATCGAGGACATGAACGAAATCTCTTACCACTTGCTCGAAGCAACGGCCATCCATCTCTACTTTACGCGTGGTCCTCCTGGCCAGGCCGGCGGTGCTACAACCAATGGAGCAGGAAAACAACAGGCGATAGAGGGCGGGTATGGCGGGGCCGACCTCGCAGGCTACTCTCAAGCTGCGAAGAGGGTCTTCAGCTTTTTGAAAGAAGTTGAACAGTCAAACGAGGGCGTGAATCAGTATGAAATTGCCTCCAAGCTCGGCATCGACGCCGCAGACGTAGCAAAGGCGGGTGAGGATCTGTTGGCAGGTGGTCTGATATACACAACTCTTGACGACCAGACCTGGGCGATTCTTGAGGCAGACTAAATAGGACATGAGGCTGTGATGAGTTACTAGGGAAAGCGGACAAAGCTACGACATTCTGCCAGGGGAGATTTCAGCAAAAGCATGCGATTTATGAGAGCACCTATGGCCTGTATTGAGAGTCAACTGTCACGTCTCATGCAAACATGTAAAGAAATCCTACTTCTCTGCGTTTGTAGCGAGAAACAGCACACACGTTCCAACAATGGCACATGATACCACCGTGAATACAACCTGTGTCTTCCATCCTGTTTGCACCAGTGCCCGACGCCGACTGTATCGTGAGACGGTATTGATGTAATTAGCCAGCCCCGCAGCCATACATGCCAAGGACAAGATCCAGAAGATAATACCCAATGGCAGTGCAAAGCGCAGCTCTGTACCGCATGTTAGTGGGGATTTCCAGACGAAAGTAGTTGTATGCTAACCGAGTGGTGTTGGTTGTAACTTGAGATGGAACGACAGCACAATGGCCACCGACACAATAGCCATGTACACGCTTAGTTTAAGCCACGCAAGAAATGCTGTCAGATTCATTAACCATTCTGACTCGTTTTCGACACAGACATTGATGGAAAACCCACTTCTCTCGTTGGCGGCATGATCCCGCGCATCCGAGGTGACGTTATCGAACAGTAGTACACCGCCCAGCCACGGGTGTTCTTTGAAAGCCGTTCGGTCGTAATCATTACTCCTACCGCACTAATTAGAACACAAGTTCCGGATACGAAGGGAAATATGGGGAAGAAGTACTGTTTGACCAAGATGGGTTTACTCCCAAAGATGTTGTAGAATGGTCGATACGGTTCGCGTAGGATGGACTCATCCGTAGCATCCATGCGCTCCAGACTTCTGAAATCCATTCTGCCTAAACAAATACAATCGCACACACAACCTAAGCTTATGAACACGGCAAAACAAGTCGGAGCGAGGAATGATTGTTGAACACGATAGTAAATCCGGTTGCTTATTTACCAGCACAGACCCGGGCTCGGCATTAAGTAGCGGTAGGTAACTAAAGTACGTCAGTAGGACCGATCGAACCATCTTTATTAACATATCCACAACATTGGTCCTTCCTTTGCACACCCAAAATCCCCTTTCCCATCAAACCCATCAATTTCACAATGGAAAAACAAAAGGAACTCACGCTTTTTGGCGGATGCGAGTATGTATAACACCATCCCTAAGTGACGTCATCGTATATAACTACTGTACATTGAACAACCCTCCCATGCTGACATGAATTTTTTTCTTTCCATCAAAAAAGAGGCTGGAACGCTTCAGATTGGACAGCAAGCGACGACCGCGTTCGCGGCGGGGCTTCGCAATCCTATCTCAGCATCAACGGCTCCTCCGCACGTTTCCACGGCACCCTCGACACAAAAGCGCTCGGTGGTGCGGGATTCGCTAGTCAGCGCACCACGGGCGAGACCCGAGCCTGGGATTTGTCTGCATACGATGGCATTTTCCTGGATATCGGCGAGCTTGATGGAAAAAAGTATACGCTGACGCTCAAGGATGAGCTTTTGCCGCCTTCGGCGGATGGGCGCGAGCAGTCGTCGATTAACTTTGAGTATGATTTTGATTCAAAGAGTGGCATGGGGGTGTTTGTGCCGTGGCATGCGATGAAGGCGACGTATCGGGGGAGAGAGCAGAATGATACTAAGCCGTTGGATACGGAGAGTGTGAAACGGTTCACCATAATGATTAGGAGGTATGACTTTGTGTTTTTTGTGGTCTACTCTCTGTTCTGTTGCTAATAGGCGAAATAGTTTCTTCGGCTCCCAAGAAGGCGATTTTAATCTTATCATCAACTCTATCAAGGCTGTCACCCAGTCTAGCGATGTTGAAAAGCATCTTGTTGGTAGAGGCATCCAGGTACGACTTTGATCACACTTTCTATCTGGTTTCGTGGCTAACACTGCTCTACTGCAGGAGCAAGAGCCATGGTCCTGGAAGAACTCGAATCTCGTTGGTCTCGCGGTCATCCTGGGCTCCACCTGGGCCGCCTCTTGGGTCTATTGCTGGTGGAAGGGTTATGATATGAGTATCATGCGCTTCTCCAAATGGTGGTCCGTCGTAAGGAAATAGGCCAGTCTAACGTCCTAACACGAACTGTATGGCACACGGATTATGTATACAACTGACTTTATAAGTTATGGAGAAATAATAGTATGAAACGGGTTATCTGTTTTAATCCGAGTTTGCCAAAAGCCCAACACTGTGGCACAACTCCTGCGACATGAACAAGCGTCGCTGTGTAATCTCCAATACCCCAAAAACAACACTGATTACTTTTCACACTTGCATGCGAAAACACGTGTTATTTCACCCACATCGCTTATCATGCAAAAAATCATAGGATATCCGACTGCAAAAAAAAACATACAACAGCGGGGATTCGCCAGTGGTCACCCACCTGACTACTAGTCCGCCGGTCGAAGGTTTAATGTCTGGGGAGCGAACGAGACCCAATTTTGCACTTCGCCGATGGTCGTATGTGAAATAATTTTCAAATTGGAAAATATATTTACATATCACGGATATAGTAGTGAGAAGGAGATGGAATTTTTGCTGGTACTCGGTGGTGAGGAGGCTATGGAAAGGCTGGATGTGCAGGATTTCGATTATACTGGAAGAAGTTTATGAGTGTTTTTTTAACAATAGGGGGTATATGCATAACTGGAGATTGTCGTAGGGATTTAGGTATCAGGTGTTGGAAGTAGACGGTCTGGGGACTACACCAGAAAATTTGAACGACAGCAGCTGTTCAGCAACAATGCTACAGCAATTAATTTATATTAGAAGTCAAAATATTGTTTCCTCAGTCAGATATGAAATATAGCGTTGCTCCAGTGAACATTGCAAAGTAAGTGGGAGGTCTCACTGTATAGCGAAAACATATCTGCATTTGAACCAAGTGTATTAACTAGAAACTCCTACGTACCTAGCCTATTATCTACGAGTCCATGATAGAAATACGTCTCAATACATATATCCGTCCACAAAGAAAAAAACATATATTCATGCCAAAGGAGCCACCATTATCAACCTACCCCTTCTTTTCCGAAACCCGCACACTTACAAGCACAACATCCATCCTACCACCCCCAATCCAATCTCTCACTTATTAAACATCAACCAACAGCCATGCCGTTATTTACCCAATAACCACACCAAAACACATCACTAGCATCCTGTCCTAGCAACCCCCATCCCCCATCCCCATCAACAAAATCTGTTGAACCAACCTTACCTCCCCCCCCAAAAAAAAGACAGCGAGAAAAAACACACACACACACACACACACATACCTACAACCCTTTCCTCCCCTGTACGGCACGACCCGCCGTACCACACCCACCACCCTCGCATTCAACAAAAAAACCTTCTCCCCTAACTCCCAACTCCCAATCCAACCCGGCATAATCCTCCGATGCAAACCCCTCCTTTCTTTTCTCGCCTTTCCTTCTTCCACACATACACGCAATTTGATCTCCACAGCTACGCGCTGTACTATCTTTCCGTCCATCTAATCTCCCTGGTTACCATATCCCCTCTTTCATGTAGTAACACTCCGACTGTACCAGGGGGGGTGGGGGGTATTCCAACGTTGTCCTCCGCTGAGCGAATCCTTAATCCTCATCAAACACATCAAAGTATATTCGTACGTACCCAAAAAACGTGTGTAAAGCCATGAGACGATACACACACACAAATGTTGAGTCTCATCTCGCACAACACCCGGATCCACAACTCGTGCATAAGTGTACGCCTTTTTGCGCCTTGCTGGGCGTACAAAGCCCAAAAAAAACAAAAAAAAATAAAAAGTGAAAAGTGAAAAGAAAACATCGGTTTTTTCTCTTCTTCTCCCCATATTCCCCCTCCCCCCCCCTTTTCCAGGTATATTTATTTTTTTTCTCCCGCAAACGTCCCGCCCACACTCTCCTTTTGTACTAAATCTCACATATTATTTATTTATTTATTTTTTGGCTATCGCTTGTAGCGTGTAGCGTACTTTTCGCACAGCACAGCACGGCATAGCACCGCACCAAACCAAACCAAACCAAGCCAGCCATGGGTTAGTCTAGACCCGGCACATGCGTAGGTATATTAGGTACGCACTTCACACTTAACGCCGTAGTCCTGAAAAGAAAGAAGGAGGAACGAAAAAAGAGAGAGAAAGGAGGTCCCCCTCAACCTATTTTTCCTCTTTCCTTTCCTTGCCCTTCACTTTTCTTTTTGCCCCCCCTCTCTCTCTCTCTTCTCTTCTCTTCTCTTTTTTGGGGGGGTGAGTGAGTGCGATTGCTTATTCCGCATATCCGCATGTGAACTTGTCACTTTTTTCTTTTTCTTTTTAGGCGTGCCGTGCATGGTAGAAGGAAGGAAGGAAGGAAGGGGGGGTTGGATGCGCAAGAACGTATTACGGCACGGGGAGAAAAAAAATTGTAGGGTGCATGTGCGGAAGTGCAGAGAGTGTTGCAGGTGGAGAGACAAGTTGCAAGGGTAGCAACGTCAAGGTGCAAGATTGTTGTACCTGTAAAGGAAAAAGAAAAGAAAAGGGGAGAAGGCTGGAAGAAGGAGATGGGAGGATGGAGTTGGAAGGGGAAGAAGAAGAAGGAAGATGACGAGAGTGATGTACGTAAACTCCGTATCCTCTCGCAGGAAGGTGTGAATAGAAGATGTTGTTTGTGCTGCTTCGAATGCGATGTATCTTACATGTACTAAGTGTCGCCTATGATTTTCGTTAAAAAGAGGACAGAGAGGGGGGGAGGATGTCGTGCTACACTCATCCTCAATTTCACTCGCAGTGGAACAATGTGGAGCCATATGCAGGGGCAAGGTGCTTACGGCTCGTTGCTTCTTTCCTTTCTTCTTCTCTTTTTCTCTCTCGACTTGGCAACCATGCACATGCATATGTACGCGGCGGGGATTATGAGGTAAGCTGAATGCAGGAACGAGAATAATAAGGAACGAGAACGAGAGTAGGTTGGGAAAACGGTTGGGGAGAGTTTGAAAAAAGCAAAACAACAACAACAACATGCAGAGGACACGTAGGATTTTCAAGTGATGAGAAGGGGAAGAGTCACCGTAACCAATCACACACACATGCTCTCTCAGAATAATCTCAGGTATCCAATTGTGATTCATTATTTCCAGTACCGCATATTTCTGACCTTCGTCAGATGTTTGCTAACGCTTCCCACATACACATACACACATGTGATTAAGAGCCAAAACCACAGCTCTATCCAGAAACTACAACAATGATAGAGATAAGAGAGACAAGGAAAATAAGGAGGAAATATACATGGAGATACACACAAAAATAACAAAAACATGGTTCCAACGGAGAGATTTCGCCCAAATTGCTAAATGCAGCAACACTAAAAAAACTAAAAAAAGACGACGCTTTTAACTCCGTTCCACATGTTCGAACAGAACGCCCAGTAAAAAAAAATCCAGACTCGTTACAGCCGAGGAAAAAGAATCAAAGACGAGGTGACGTATTAGATTATGCCACAGGAGAGAGAGAGATGGGAGCCTCAAGAAGCCCATGCCTTGAGAGAGATTCGGATAGATGGAGATGGAAAACAGAACAAGGCTGAGCAAAATAGTTTGGGTATAATGAGAATGTATTTGTGAGACGCGGCGGATGACAGAGAGAGAGAGAGAGACGTTACGCGCTCAATGCAAAATGATGCATTGTTTGGTTATTGTGCTCCAAAATCTCCCGGTCCTTGGTTGGCAAAAATGTAGCTTTTGGGTTGAGGTTCATTGGGCCGTCGCATAAAATTCCCTTGGGCAGGGTTGGTGCCCTGAGGTGGGTTGTACTGATGTACTAAAAAATCCGGCATGGCAGAGACTTGAGGCGCAAAGGGGACATTGTGGTGGATACCACTCAGTGAAACGTCTTCATAGTTCATGTTGCCACCAGGCATGTATTGTAGATTGCCGTCATCGGGTTGGTTTTGGGTAGAGTCGGGTAACGAAGGTCTCCTGAAATGCGAGGGCTTGGGTTGTTGAATCGTAAGATCAGTAGTGGAACGAAAACCTGCTCGTATTTGGGGCGGCTGCGCGTATGGTGCCCTGTGAAAATATTGCTGAGTCGCTGGTGCCGATTGCGGCGGTGTGTCGCGATAGAGCGCGTCGTTGACGAAGCGAGATTGCAGGTCCATGGAGGATGAGGGCGGCGAAGTAGTCTTGGCAATGACGTTTCCAGCCTGATCCGAGGACCAATTTGTGTGCATGCTCTCTGGACTGTTGTGATCAGGCATGGCCGAATGTGGCCTGATTACCGCTGCACCGCCCCAGTAGTTGCCAAAATCCTGTGGAGTCAGCGGAGTCGGGGGTGCCAGACTGCCGCCTTGGCCTATGGTAGTGGTGCTCGAGGTGGAGAATGTTCGCGCAAACTTTGGTGACGCCGCAGCCTCGGAGAAGCTCATGGCCATGGGAGAGCGCTGTGCTGAGCCGGGCTGTGACTTTTGTACACGGCCTCCAGCATTTCCAATGCCCGTTGAGCGAATCCTGCGAATGACCTTGTCGTTGTTGCCTCCTGGCGAGGGCATGGGGGCAGAGTACGAGGCGCTGCGCATTGCCGTCGAGCTGAGGTTGATTGGACGCTTCTGCCGCCTTGCTGCGATGCTCGACGACTGGTCGGGAAGCGAGAACTCATCTGGGGTGCTATTCCTGATGTGTATCGCATCCATGTTAGTGGCGAGATTGCTTGTGGACGAGTTTCTGCGGCCAAAGGCATCTTCACGAAAGTGCATGGGGATGTCGAGATCAGAAGGCGCAGCACTGAGCCTCCGCGCTTGCTCTGGTGTGGTCATGATGGCATGTGAAGACGAGTTTAGCTGTTGGTAGAGACCGTGCTGTGGGAACATTTGGCTGGAGCCGTCCTGAGGCCAGAAAGGAAGCGTCTGCTCCGAGGCGGATGCCTGGCCAAGGTTGTAGGGCGCGAACTGGTCCTCTGGTTCGTCGGCGTGCTTGGGTTGCGCCAGCTGGTTGGGGTCCTCTGTCCAGCCGGTGTAGACGGAGTTCAACGAGGCAATGGAAGGGGGGGTGGGACCGTTTGGAGACTGGGTCGTGGCTGAAGACTGGGTGCCGTTGTAGGGCGAAGCGCCTGATGAGATGGACCCTGTGCTTTGTTGAGCTTCTGGCGCGCTCGAGTTGCTGGTATCAGTAGCCGTCAGTGCGGAGTAGTCGACCTGGAAGTCGGCAAAGTTGTCAAACTCGGGGTGTGAGGGGGCTAGGTCGCCAGACATGGGAGCAGACACGGTAAAGGCAAGGTCACTGGAGTAGGCACTGGACAGACCAGAGGTATCAAAGGTAAAGTCGGACTGTTGAGCATCGGCAGGCAGGCCGCTCTCGTGCATGTAGGCACCGTTGGTGGCAGCCATGATGGAGTTCATAAGGTCGTTGGGACGATAGGCTGGTGCGCGATCAACCTCTGGCATGCAGCGGAACATGTCGTATTGCTGTTGTTGCTGGGGCTGCTGTTGGGGTTGGTGCTGGTGTTGATGCTGGTGTTGATGCTGGTGTTGATGCTGGTGCTGCTGGTGCTGCTGCGACATGTGGGGGTTCAGATCAAGTGCCGAGGGACCTTCGCCAACCTGGACGGGCATGGTTGCAGGGCTGATGTCTGCTGTGGAATAAAAGTCTGGCTGCATGAGCATGTGGGGGTTTTGCTGGTCCTGGGGATGGGGGTAGTGGTTGGGCATGACGGGCGCGTGCTGGTGGGCAAAGGGCAAGTTCATGGTCATGTTGTATTGGTTCATGAGCTTCTTGCGGTCCTGCTTGACCTTTGCGCGGCGGTTCTGGAACCAGTTCTGCAGGCATGTTAGCAAGGCTGGCGAGAGGGCGTGGTGGGAGCGAGGGGACGACTCGCATTGATCTTGTCGAGGGGGACGCCGAGGCGGGTAGCGAATTCCTTCTTGACATTGGTGCTGGGCTTGTGTTGGGCGAGGAAGTGCTGTTCGAGGATGTCATGCTGATCTTTGGTGAGGCGGGGCTTGACATCGCTGCCGGGCTGCTTCGGCGCGGGAGGTGCGGTCGTCGTAGCGGCGCCGCTGGGATCCATGTTGCCGCGTCCAGCGACAATGCAGCGCGAGCGGGCGAGATGGGGCGTCGCAGTGAGGGAAGGAGGTGGTGGTAGTAGTAGTGTTGGCGATGTTGGTGGTGGTGATGGTAGTGACGGCGGTAGTAGTAGTAGTTGTGGTGGTAGTGATGGTGGTGGCAGTAGCAGTAGTAGTAGTAGTAGTAGTAATAGCAGCGATAGTGGTAGTGGTAGTGGTAGTAGCCGTAGCAGCAGTCGTGGGATTCAGGCGATAGGCAGGATAGGCAGGATGTGCGTAGAGCGGGCACGGATGCGCGGGCTGCACCACACGACGGGGGGCCGATGGCAGACGAAGTAGCGAGCGACAATGACGACTAAGCGACGGGGGGGAAGAGAGGGGGAGGGCAGGGCGGCAATAGTGGATAGGCGCTATATCTACGGCGGGCTTGCGACGAGAGTATGGAAACGAGAGTGTTCAGCGCAACGGCGCAGTAGAGCAGGCAAAAAAGGGCACGAAGCGAGAGGCGGACGGGGAATGAAGGAGCCTGGCAGATGGTGGGAGGGAGGGTAGGTTGGGTGGGTGCTAGTAGGGTTAGGTAGGGCAGGGTAGGGTAGGGTAGGGTTAGGTAGGGTAAGTGCTGGCTGGCCGCTGCTGGCTCGCTGCATGCCTCGCACTCGCTCGCACTCGCTCACACGTCTGGTCTGGTCTGGCTGGCTGGCTGGCTGGCTGGCTGGCTGGCTGGCTGGCTCGCTCGGTGCTGGCGGCGGCGGGCGGCTGGCGGGTGCTTGGTTGGTCGGAGGTGCCAAACGTGCTCAGCCACTGAACCCCCCAGCGCATTGTGCCCGTCGACACCAAAATAACCAGCCCTCGGCAGTCTCCACGCACCCCCTCGCCGTGATTCGACCGTCCGGCGGGTGCGGGTGCGAGTGGATGGATGCCATGGACGCTCCAAGCACGCTGGCCATGCGGGTGCAGCGCGTCACTGGCCTCTCCCCCGCCCGTGCAGGCTGTAAGGACTGTAGTGTCTTCACATCACATACATACTACGATACGCCTATTTACTACTACTATTTATTCCTACTACTACACTACACTACACTCCACTAGCACGTCGTCTCTCAGTCCAGTACTTCAACACACATGCATCTCCCTACTTCACACGACGCCCTCCCCGGCAGCAGAGCCGTGTGTGTCCCACATTCTGAGACGAGGGCGGCCCATGTGCTGCAGCCCGGGCCTCTGACCCCCCCGTTCGGAGAATATGGGATGGTCTGGTAGGTGTCAGTGAATACCATCCTGTCTGAGTAGCAGGTACTCCTGGCAGCTATAGCCTGCCTGGCTGCAATATACTCGACGCATGGCCTGGCCACCCGCCCGTCTCCTCTGCCACGGTCCACGTCAAAAAAACCGTCCTGGGCCACCGCCCGCGGCGTGGCTTCAACGTCGACGCCCGGCTCGTCGCCTGTCTGCTTCCTGCCCAGCCTCTGCGTGGCGTCGCCCGTCGACCATTAGGTGTGTGTACCTGTGTGCGAGAGTGTGCATGTGGGTGTGCCTCTGGCGACTCGCCGACCACATTGGTGCCAGGTGCCATCTGCCAACCGCCCCCGGCCCGAGAGTCGCCTTTGTGTGATGGTCCGTCATGCCCGCCCGCGCACGGCCAAGGGGGGCATTATCATCATCATCATCATCATCATCATCATCATCATCATTACACCCGCCCATACATACACTACTGTATACTTACATGCTCCTTGCTTACACTGGTCTGGTCTCGTCTGGTCTCGTCTGGTTCGGTTCGGAAGTCGGCGCTCGCTCGCTCGCTGCCTCGCCCGCCTGCCGCGTCCGCTTGCGCTCAAGCTGCTGTTCCTGCGCGTACCTTGCAGCAAGGGGGAGCTTCAGTACCACTTGCGGAACCCAAAACTGGCCCCGGCGCCACCGTCCTACAACCCTTTGTGTTTCGCCCGCCCGTCGTCGAATGACCAGTCCACTCGCAATCCGCCAGCCCGCCAGGTCCGCCAATCCCGCCCTAGTCCTAGTTCCTCCTCCTCCTCCGCCTGCTAAAGGCTGTCCCAACCGACCAACCCAACTAGCCCAAAAGCAATCCACAGGCCACGCTGCAAGCCCTACAATTACTCCCTCGTCGCTGCCCGCCAACCATCGCTCCCTCCACCAAACTCTGCCCGCGCCTCTGTACCTCTACACACACAAACAAAAGAAACAACCACCTCTCGCCCTCGCCCTCATCCTCCTCTTCGTCCGCCATGACTCACCTGCCGATGAATGCGGCATCTCATGCGATGCGACACAACGTGAATCGCCCGGCCAAACAAGGCTAGGCCCACTGCAACCGCCCCCCCTCTCTCCCCCTCCAACCTCCAACCCCAACTGCTCATTCGGCAAGGCTGGTCTGCTCACGCCAGGCTGGGTGCATGCGTCAGCTATTTCTACCCACCTACATATGTACGGACAGCACTCGACACACCTGCGCTGCACTCTAGTCTCCACCCACATACAACCTCGAATCACCTCCTGCGTCTCTGACTCTAGCCGAGTAACACCGCATGCACACGGCATCGACTCTTCAAGAGCGCACAGTAAGCAGAGCCGCAGAACTCCCACGCCACCAAAAGTCTAAACTACCCGCCCCGCCCTCAGCAACAAACGTCTACGAGTACACCTGTTCCCCCTCCCACCCTACCTCCTACCTACATCCCTACACTAACGCATTTGTGATGACAATCTCACCCTCCCCCGTCGTCTTGTCCCATGACTGAAGCGTGACGCTCCCCATGTCCTGAACAATGTAGTCTGCCCCAGCTTCCACAATCTGTTCTAGCGTATGTGACGTGTGGAGACCCACCACCACGAACCCTGCCGCTTTGCCTGACCGAATTCCTGCCGGCGCGTCCTCAAAGACAATGATAGAAGCCTCCTTTTTTTGTAGCTCCAGTTTCTCCGCGCCCATCTGATAGCACGTCGGATCCGGCTTGCCGTTGAGCACGTCTTCGGCCGTCACCAGATTCTTGGGGTGCGCCAGTTTCATCACGTCCAGCCAACCCTGGACAAGCGGACGTGTGCCGGACGTTACAATGCACCACGGAACACCCTGTTCCTCCAGCTTGTCCAGCAAGGCACGCGATCCGGGAATCTCAACGGCATCATGCCCGAATTCCTTGGGTACCAGTCCCTCGGCATGGCAAATATCTGTTTCGTTTAGTTGCAAACATCGACAACATGGTCCACCCTGGCACACTCACACTCCCAATTAGCCAGCTTCGGCTCATAGATCTTGAGCACGTCGATAGATCTCCGCCCGTGTGATGTTGCCAGAATCACTTCGGGTGCGACTCCAATCTCCTTGCCAATCCTGGGCAATGCACATGTCAGCCTAGGCCTACCCAATCTGCCTTTTCCCACCGTAACCTACTTGTGCCAGTGCTTCTCAATTGCAACCGTCGAGTCGATAATCGTACCACTATTATGCGCTTAGCCACCATTGCTGACATGCCCACAAAACCCCGTCACTTACTCCATGTCAAAGAGCTGCTCCAGTCAGTACCTGTCAACACGTGGTCAGTGGATGCTTGTACTCACCAAGCCATGGCACTTTATTGTCTGCGTCGGCGCCGAGAAGTTGGGCTTGGATGCACTCATCGTGATAACCTTTTGTAATATCTCTTGCCGAGTCGAAAATGTTGCTGAATCCCAATTGACGGTGAAGGTAAACTACATATGTACGCTGTGAGACAACGCCCTACTAGGTTTAGCCACGTCGGGAATCCTATCCGATGTTTTTCCGATTATCATGCAGCCAATCACAATGACGCTCTCGTGCGGTAATCTAGCTTACACAAGAGGCTGTTGTAATCAAGTGGATTCCTAGGGTATTGTAGAGAGGAAACTTATCCGATGCAAATCAAATAACCACGTGTGTCTGACTTGAATTCTGCCAGTCTGCAATCATGTGACTACCAGGCAAGATGTCGGCAGTGGGGAAGTAGTGGAGCCGCGCTAGTTGGGCGGCAGAAGGTGGCAGTATTTTCACCTGGCGAACTTTTTTGGAAGACGTCGAAATTTCGACCTCGACATCCAAACACAAGCTCAACAATCCACAATGAAGGTCGGAAGTAAGATACGCACTGGAAGGCGAAAACTGAGCAATACTGACAGAAATACCAGAGCCAAAGTCAAAGCGCGTACCCGTGCGCCTACGCCACAAGATTGAAAAAGCGTCGGCGGCCAAGCAGAAGAAGGCAAGAAAGCTCGCAAAGAAGGTACGATACTTGCGCATCGCTACAGCGCTCAGACAGTTAATGCGCGCAGGATCCAACATGGCGAAGCAAGACCAAGAAGGAGCCCGGTATTCCCAATCTGTTCCCCTACAAAGACAAGATTTTGGCAGAGGCCGAGGAACAGCGAAGGAACCGAGAAGAAGAAAATGCGCGCCGACGACAACTGGCAAAGGAGCAGAAATTGAATGCCGCTTCTGCTGAAGATGCCATGGACGACGACGACGACGAGTTTGAGCAGTTCGATGCCGAAGGCGACGAGCTACTTGCAGACGACAGCAGCGAAGATGAGGATTCGATGCAGGTGGTGCGTTTCCTCAGCTGCATCGCGATGCGCCGGAGTGCTAATACATACTAGGACAACAAACTTAATCCCATGGCCGCCCTTTTGGCTTCTGCGAAGGCACGTGCCGCTGAGTTTGAGAAAAACGACAATGATGCAGACGCCATGCTCGACAGCGAGGAAGAAGACGATGACGACGAAAGCGGCGGGGTCAGGGTCCGCAAAGACGCATCAAGAAAGCAGTTTGACAAGGTCTACAAGCAAGTCGTTGACTCGGCCGACGTTGTCCTGTACGTCCTCGACGCCAGAGATCCCATGGGAACGCGATCGAAAGAGGTGGAGCAGGCAGTCATGGCAGCAGACCGTTCAAGCAAGCGCCTGATATTCATCCTCAACAAGATCGACCTTGTCCCCCCACCAGCCCTAAGAGCATGGCTCGTTCACCTCCGTCGCTCCTTCCCGACCCTTCCGCTGCGCGCATCTAAGCCTGCGCCTAACGCAAAGACCTTTGAGCACAAGGACCTCACTATGAAGGGTACATCAGAGACTCTTTTCAAAGCCCTCAAGACTTTTGCAGAGTCACGGCAGCTCAAGCGCTCGGTCAAGGTTGGAATCATCGGATATCCCAATGTGGGCAAGTCTTCGGTGATCAACGCCTTGACCTCAAGACTAGGAGGAAGATCTGCTGGTTGCCCAACTGGCGCCGAGGCTGGCGTCACTACCAGCTTACGAGAAGTCAAGCTTGACAACAAGCTCAAGCTTCTAGACTCGCCTGGTATTGTCTTCCCGAATACTGAAGGTTCCAAGGAGAGCAAAGTACAGCAACAAGCACGACTGATTCTCCTGAATGCTGTCCCACCTAGGGAAATCGAAGATCCCATCCCAGCTGTGACACTTCTGTTGAAGAGGCTCTCATCTTCAGAAGAACTGTTTGCAAAACTCATGGAGGTTTATGATCTGCCCCCGCTACATACCATAGGCAATGACAGGACGACCGACTTTTTGGTTCAGGTAGCAAGGAAACGAGGTCGACTTGGTAAGGGTGGAATACCCAACATGCATGCTGCAGCACAGACTGTCATCAATGACTGGAGAGATGGTCGCATTCAAGGATGGACAAGCCCGCCCAAGTACGTTCCTGCCGAGACTGCAACGACAAAGACGGCTCCCGCCCAGAAGGGCGGTCTCGTTGGTGACCAGAAGGAGATTGTCAAGGAATGGGCTGCCGAATTCAAGCTCGAAGGTCTTTGGGGCGACGACTCCAACGACACTGCAGCACCAGAGACCATGGAAATGTAAGCATGTTACGACGAGAGTCAACTGGCGAATTGGCGTTTGTATTTCACTGCAGTACTGGCTTTTCCCTAAGAAGAGGAATCAGGTCTCGACTAGATGTCACAATCATATCATGATAGCCATTTTACAATCACATAGCCTCCGACTGATGAAAACTTTGCCCAATCATCCACATCCATCTGGGCCGCTACTGACCGAACCAAAGTGCGACATCGGCCACCAAACTGACGAAAAGCTCATTCGGTGATGTAGCTCCACGCCGATTGTGGTGCGCAAGACATGTTCGCTACTACAGCGGCGATCGTTTGCCCCACACTAGGTATCGGCTTTCGTCGGCTCAACCCCAGAGCTCATTCGATTCGAGCTTCACAGCTTGGTATACATAACGAGAAGCCCCAAACTTTTTGGCTAATTGACATTCCAAATCATCTACAATGGGTTCTTCAAAGAGTCTCCAGCCGCTTCGCTCTGCTACAAAGACATTGAATGCACTGCCCGCAGCCTATGCTGGTGCGCAGGTTGCTTCACGACGATATGCGGGGACGCTTGCAAACTTCAAGATTCCGACTGTTAACAACGAGCCAAACGTAAGTTGAAGATATGGTGAGGTTTCCGTAGGATTTTTGCTGATTGAGAATCCTAGCAACACTATGCCAAAGGCTCAGTCGACCGACAGAAGCTTCAGGATGCGGTTGCACGTATGAAGAAGCGGGGCCCAGTAGAGGTCCCTCTTGCCGTAGGAGGAGAATACGTAAGATTGGAAGACACTGGCTCGGTGGTTTCATCTCATTGACAGCTTCAGATCAAAACCTCGTCCATCCTCACTCAGAACAACCCCTCCTCCCACGCCGACGTCATTGCCAAGTACTCCAATGCCAGCCCAGCGGACGTCAAGAAGGCCATCGATGCCGCATTGGCAGCGAAGCCAGCATGGGAAGCGCTTCCCTTTGCTGATCGCGCTTCAGTATTTCTCAAGGCGGCAGACCTCATTTCCACAAAGTACCGATATGAGATCATGGCAGCGACAATGGTGGGACAGGGAAAGAATGCATGGCAAGCCGAGATTGATGCAGCAGCGGAGCTGTGTGACTTTCTCAGGTTCAATGTCAAGTACGCGGAAGAGACATATGGCCACCAGCCAGTACACAACTCGCCTGGTGTATGGAAGTACGTACAGTCGCTGTTTACAGTTGAGAGCAAAGCTAACTGAAATAGCCGCGTTGAATACCGACCACTCGAAGGTTTTGTCTACGCCGTATCCCCTTTCAACTTCACAGCTATTGGCGGTAACCTCCCCGCAGCCCCAGCTCTGATGGGCAACGTTGTCGTGTGGAAGCCATCGCCATCTGCAATTGCCTCTAACTGGCTTCTCTACCAGATTCTGATCGAGGCTGGCCTTCCACCAAATGTCATCCAGTGGGTCCCTGGTGATGCTGTGGAAGTCACACAGGAGGTTCTCGCTCACAGGCAATTCGCATCCCTGCACTACACTGGCAGCACAGCAGTCTTCCGCCAGCTGTACGGAAAGATTGCCAACGGTGTAGCCGAGGGCAAGTACCAGAGCTACCCCAGGATTGTCGGCGAGACTGGCGGCAAGAACTTCCATCTCATCCACAAGGACGCCGACATCCACAACGCCGCCATCCAGACCGTCCGCGGCGCCTTTGAGTACCAAGGCCAAAAATGCAGCGCCTGCTCTCGCCTCTACGTGCCCTCCTCCGCCTGGCCCGAATTCAAAGAAATCCTCATCAAAGAAGTCTCCGCCCTAAAAATCGGCGAGCCCTCCGACTTCTCCAACTTCATCGGTCCCGTCATCCACGAAGCCTCATTCAAGAAGCTCTCTGGCGTAATCGACGACGCCAAATCCGATCCCGAACTCGAACTCGTCGTCGGCGGCAAGTACGACAGCACCGAGGGCTACTACATCCACCCGACCGTGTACCTGACCAAAAACCCAAACCACCCCCTCCTCTCCCGCGAACTCTTCGGCCCCATCCTCGTCGCCTACGTCTACGATGATGCCGCTCCCAACGCCTTCGCCAACATCATCCGCCAAATCGACGACACCTCCGAGTACGCTCTCACCGGCGCTATCTTCGCGAAGGACCGCGAGACCATCAAGTTTGCAGCAGATAAACTGAGGAATGCAGCGGGTAACTTTTATATCAACTGCAAGTGTACGGGTGCGGTTGTGGGCCAGCAGCCGTTTGGCGGCTCGAGGGCTAGCGGCACAAATGACAAGGCTGGGAGTGCGAATTTACTCGCGCGCTTTGTTAATGTGAGGGCGGTTAAGGAGGAGTTTTTGCCGACGGAACAGGTCGGGTATCCTAGTAATGAGGTTTAGAGATGTGGTTTGTGGGGTAGGGGGGTAGGGGGGCGTTTGCGGGTGGGAAATCGGGCATTTAGGGTATGAATATGAAAGATATGAACAGGGAGGATTTATCACTATTTTTTTATTTTTATTTTTTTTGGTAAAGAATGTTTAGGGATTTTCTGGATTAGCCGTTCGTTTTTTTTTTGGATATATTCAGAAAAGAAAAAGAAAAAAACTTGAATAAAGTTATAGTATAGGAATTCTTCTCTCTCTCTCTCTTCCTTGAGAACACGTTTTCGCGCTTCTTAATAATGGCGTCTTTTTGTTATACTACTGCGCAGGGATTCTGCTTCACAATCTTAGATTGTGAATTCCGCATTAATCATGAGACGTTAAGAGCGTTTGGAACACACGGGGTTCAAGAGTAAACGAGTAGCAGAGACAGACGGGAGTTTTGACGGGTCTGTTAATCTTGATTTAGACCAAATAGATACTTGAGGTAAGGTTGGTAAGGAGTAAGGGTGTGTATCTGTAGTGGATGAGTTCGGGTGGAACTGAGGAAGAGTGGGCTTGGGATGGTGTGATGTAAAGTGGCCTGTAAGGAAGGGGGGAGGTTTAGAGGAAACGAGGTTCTGACGTTGATTATCGGGTCCATTCACAAAAAAAAGAAGGGGGGGGGGGACTCGATCGTCCGTATGCATTCTGTAGTTCTTAACGCAGGCACAGTTCTCCCCCCCCCTTTCTCCATCTCCCCCCTTCTACGTAGCCTTGAACGCCCGCCTCAATATTACTCTTAATCTACTGACCATTCTGCTCCAACCCCCTTCATCAATCGCACTAACAATTACCCCTTTTAACGGTATCAAAAAAAAAAAGAATACGCGCAACCGCTGTCCAGAACGCCATTCCGAGACAGGTACGAAACACGGGAAAACGCCCTGTCCATTTTCTGTGGCGCTGAAGGGGAGACACGTATACACACCCTTCCCAGCAACAGTGTAAACCTGACCTTCTACGTAGGTCACAAGCGCTTGGAGTATAAAGTCCTTTGCGCCGTCAAGGTGGGGGGCTATCCCACGCAATGTTGAATGTTCCCTTGGATACATGAACCCTTTAAAAAAACCAAAAAAACAGAAGATTTTAAAGAAATGCTATTTAGAGGGGGGATTATTTTTTTTCCCCCGTATTTTGGGGAAATACTATTCACCTTTTTTTTTCATGAGAGACTTGGCAAAAGGCTCCGCTGCTCCTGCAGCAGGGACAGAGACGCTTCTAAAGATTATAAGTGTTAGTTAGGTGGTTCATAGTATATATAGCAGAGAAGCATTTTAGTGGAAGGGTTGGGCATACTCAGAGGCCTTGACTGCGACGGGTGGGGGCAGCATAGGCTACACTGCAGATGGCAGTTAGAAGAAGGGACTTGATAGCAATCATTGTTTGATTTTCCTTGTTTTTTCAAAGGTATAGATAAATGGACTGTTGAAGGAGATAAAAGATCATCACTTATTCTATACTTGTTATCTAGTCTTTGTATCGTCATTATTCTATCTTCTCAGCATTCAAACCAAATTACATTCTACGCACCAGGGCCGTAATCAAGTTTTTTTTTTTTACAAACCATGCGTCTTGTCATTACTTTCTATCGCTTTCGCTACGATTGCGTCTGCTATCCCTCTTGAACATGGAAAAGAGAAACTACAGGTACTTAGCATCTCTCTCTCTCTCTCTCTCACACACACACATTCAACTAACAAGTACCCTTTTCTTCCCAGCTACGAGCGATGGGATGCGACGCAAAATTCTGCTGCTGCATCAATCAAGGAAGCTGTACTTATGAAACCTGTTTCGAGTCTTGTTACGCAGGCCACTGCAGCAACACGTTTGCACCCGGAACGCCGTTTCCTCCAACTTGTCCTAGCCGAAAAAAAAGTGAAGCATGAGCAGTGTTGATTTTTTTTCTAGTACGACGTTCTTAGGGGCTGAGGTCTAGGTTAAGATAGATAAAATGTTCAGAAGTCGTGAGAAGGTTACCTTCTCACGAGATAGACTTATAGGTTACTTTTAAGATGAAGTAATGCCAATCTAAGCGCGTCAAGTTTATTCTATTGTGAATTGTTTTCGCCGATAGGTATAAGATATTTTTTTGTTAAAAAAAGTAGATTTAAGACGAATTCTTGAAAAGTCTTCTTAGAGCTGGTTAAGACTATTCACTCCTATACCATTCTGAGAGATGCTTGGTAGATCTCCAAGAGTTAGTCTTGAGTTTAGAATATCATGATATCTATAGTATTCTAGTAATAGTTCTTCGCTTGGTTAAGACTACTTCTAAACTCAAAGATATATGTATGACCATATGCGGTAGGGTGGAGTGGGATGTGGATGTGGAAAGCTTAGTAGTCATTTTACTTGGTTAGAACTTGGGGTGTAGCCAAGGACGGAGGGAGCAGTGTTTGTTTTGGGGCTACTACTTAGGGTTGGGATGGGAAACGAAGGGCGATGGGGTTTTGAGGGTAGGGAAAGGATGGGTGTTTTTGGGGCTAGAGTGGGTTGGGTGGTGATGGGGAAGGGAAGGGAAGAGAAGGAATGGGGGTTTATGTTATTTTAGGTTAGGTTAGGTTGGTAGGGGAAAAGCCTGGTAGGTTTGCTTGATGCAAGCATGAGGGAGGGACCGGAGCCAAGCCCGGGATGA